TAATTTTTATAATAAGGTTATAAAGTTACTTAACTAGTAAATTATATAAGTACTAAATATACTTTATTAGGTTTTACTTAAATTTAAAAAAAAAAAATTAAATTTTAATAAGCATGTACCTGTTCCTTCTAGGTTTAAAAATTAATTTTAAAACCTTTTAGACCTAACGTGTTATTGCTAATAAGTAGCTTTATTAATAAGTTTTTAATAATATATATAGTTATAAGAATCTTTTTTAATACTAGCTAATTATTAACCTAGCTAGGTAAATAAGTATTAAAGGATATTATTTTATTTATTTAGTAAAAAGAACTAATACTAAATATTAATATATATTTAGCTAATTTTAAAGTTAGGCCTAAATCTTATACTATTTAATAGTTAATTAAGGTTTTAATATATTTAGTATCTAGGTAAACCTTATTTATTTTTACCTTTAAGTTAATACTTAAAAAATAATTAAATATTTTTATAATTAACATAGTTTATTTTTTATGCTGGTTTTGGCTAATATTTTTAATTTTATAATAAGTAAAACTTTGGTATTTACTAGTAAAGTAGCTAAGTAATTTTACTTTTTATATATTTTAAGATAGGTAAATAAAGTATTTTAAAAGTTAAATTTTTTATTATACTTATAATATATAGCTATTATAGTACTAGCTAGCATAACTTAGTTTTTATTAATATTTAAAAAATTTAAGTTTTTTAAGCTTTTAATTTTAGTATATTTCTTTGGGTACTAATCTTTGGATAGCTTTTTAAAGTAAGTTATTAATAAAGTTTTAATTAGTTTTTTAAAGTAAGCGGCTAATAAAGTTTTAAACAGGAAAGGTATAGTTATTAAGTTATTATAATAAGTAAATAATAAAGTTACTAGCATAATAACCTGGGCATAAAGGGTGCTAGTATTTAAATTAATATAGTATACTTGTAATTATAATTAAAAAGTAAAAGTAAATTAAGCTAAAAAGATCTTATATTAATTTTATAGCTATTTACCAGGCCCTTGTTAGCATTGATTATTAAAGTCTTTTTAATCTTTATTTTTATTATTTTTATTATTTCTTGCGGGATACTTATTTCTTTTAAATTTTTAGGTAGCTTAATTAAAAACAGGCGGTAAATTTTATGGTTTTTACTAGTAAACCAGCGTCCAAGGTATTATTTATAGTAGTAAAGGCAAAGGTTAAAGTAGTTAAAGCGGTTAAACATAGTTTAGTCGCGCCTAGTATACTTATATATATATCTAGGGTTATATTTTTTAAGGGCGCTAGTTAACTTAATAAAAAGTATAATAGGGTTTTTTAAATTTTAATTTATTTTTTTACTTACTATCTTGTAATTTAATAATATCTTTTTAAATATTAAATTTAAAGTTAAAAATATTTAAAAAGTCTGCTATTATTGTGCGGCATGTTAGTTTATTAATTTTTTAATATAATATACTATTTAGTTTACTTTAAGCTAGGGTTAGTTAATTAAATATATTACTAATATTTATTAACTTTATATTTTTTAAAAACTTTTATATAAAAAAACAAAAAGTTTTACTAGCTTAAATATTTATAAAACCATAACTTATTTTTTAAAAAATAAGTTATTACCTTAACTAATTAAAGTTTAAAGTATTTAATAAGCTTAGTAACCTATTCCTACTTTAAAAAAAAATTTATAGCTCTTATTTATTTACCTAAAATAATTTTATAATATACTATTTTAAAGCAATATCTTTTAAATAATTATAAATATTAACTTTAATAACCGCTTTTCCCTTAAAAATTGCCATATTAAAAATATAATTTATAAAAATATATATATTTTTATAAAAGGTCTTTAACCCGCGCTTTTTTATTAATAAATTTTTATTATTAACTTTATTAAGCTAAAAGTAATTAATATTTTTTATTTTTTAATAATATCTTCCTAGTGCAGCTTTACCAGGCTAAAACTTTTTTTTTAAAAAAATTAGTCTTAGTTTATTAGCTAGTAAAATAAATTACCTTTTTTATATTTGCGCCCCCTTTTTATATTTTTTTAGTTTTAGTAAGAAGGATCTAGGGGTTCTGGTTCTGGATCCTATTTTTAAGGCACTTGTAGATAAGCCTCTAGCCTTTTAAAATAAGGTTCCGGCTATTAGGCTAGGCTAAAAACTTTGTATATATTTTTAAGGTTTTGCCTATATGCGTTCTTTAATTCCCGTGTTTTATTAGTTTAGTTATTTATTACTTAGTTATTTTTTTAAAAAATTTTAAAGTTCTTTTTTAGTCTGTTTTTAAAAGCGGCTTAACTATTATTAATAATTTTTAAATAGCTATTTAATTCCTGTTATAAAATTAATTTAAAGTCTGTAGCTATTAGATTATTTACCTGTTAAAGACTAAAATTAAAAGGCAGCTAATTTACCTGTTAAAAACCAGGATTAAAAGGTTTAAAATTAAAAAATTACTAATTTACCTGTTATAAACCAGAGTTAAAAGGTTACTAATTTACCTATTATAAGCCGGAGTTAAAAGGTTATTAAAAAGGTAGTTAAGGAGGCTGTTAAAAAGGCTATTAAAAATATTATTAAGAATCTAGATTTATTTATAAATTTATGTTATGGATTTAAGAACTAGTATTAGTATTAATATTAATATTAATTATACTATCCCCTTTTTTTATAATTAATAAGACAAGGGAACGCCTAGGTTTTATAATTAATTTTATTACTACTTATTTTAAATAATACTAAAAATATTAGCTAGTAATTAGTTAAGTTTACTAGCTTACTAAATTATAAGTAGCTAAAGTGTTTAACTATTACCTAATTAGTTTAGTTAAAAATATAAATAAGCTAGTAGTTTAGGTAGGCTAAAATAGTGTAAATAAGCTAGGTTAAAAAGTAATAGCTAAAAAAGTAAATAAACCTATAAATAGCCTAAAAAATAAAAAAATATTAGTGGTAAAGGTAAAAATTAGGTATATAAAATATTTACTAGTATTAAAATTAATTAGCTAGCTAGTATTACTAGCAAGTGGTTATATAACTATTAAATTATAGTTTTTAATTATAAAGACTTATTCCTGCTTAATTAATTCCAGGCTAGAGGTTAATTCCGGAGTAATAATATTATTAATATATATTAATAAGCTTGCCTGTATTTAGCCTAAAGGTTACTTTAATTTTAGCAAGAATAAATTTATAGACACGGGATAAATAATTTTTTATACTTTTTACTTACTAATTTATATATTTCCCATCCTTTAGCCAAGAGATAAGAGATCTTTTATAGCCTAGTAAAAAACTAACTAGTTAATATTTTATACCAGGGGGTAAGTATACTAAGTAAGAAATAGTACAGCCGTATAGTGTATTATAAAATTAATAAAAAAATAGTTTTTTAATTAAACTTCCTAGTATACTACTATCCCACCTATTAAAAGGTTTTTAATTAATGGGCTAATATTACTAAAAATTATTCTAGTTAGTTTGGGCCCCCTTTATGTTAGCTATAATTATTATTTAAAAGGCAAAAAAAAGAAAACGCTTGCCGGTTAACTAATATATATAAATAGTAAATAGGAGTTTAAGAGTTTAATAATTTTTTAATAAATAAGTAAAAGGTAAAAAAGTTGTAGAGAGAGAATTAAAAAAGCAAGTTTACTAAATTTATTAGTTAGTTAAAAAAAATAGCTATTAGCTAGTTGCTAGATATAGTTAATTTTTAGGAATTTAAAAGTTTAATTAGTTATTTAACTTAATAAAAAATAACTAAATAAACAAGTAAATAATAATATAAATAAATAAAAGTAAAGGTTTAGAGAAAGTACTACCAGGCCTCCCGGGCGCTAAAAATTACTTAATTAGTGCCTCTTGGCCTAATCTTAATTAAAATACCTAATTAAAATATTAAGTTATTTACTTAACTAGTTATATTAAAGGACATGCTACCATTGTTATACTTTTAACGGTTTAAAAAGAATTTATGATATTATTAATTATCTCGTAAAAGGCTAGCTACATTAAATAAAGAAAAGGGGTCAAGGCGGTGTCCGACGGCAGTATTAGTGTGCCGTCAGTGGCCAACGTTGACACTAAGTAAAGTAAAAAAAATATAATAAAAAAATTATTATTTTTATTAATTATTTTAAGGCAGGTGCGGCGGAGGGTATTATAATAATAAAAAAAATTAAAATTATTACTAAAATAATAAATAGCTATAATTATTAAAAAAGTAAAATATTAAAATTATTAATTTATAAAAAAATATATTATAAAAGTTTTCTTGCTACTAGGTGGTTTATAACCTAATTTATAATATTATAAAAATCAAAAAAGTTTAAAAAGGTTATAATAAATAATATTAACTACCTTTTTATTTTCCTAAAAAAATAATAAAGTTATTTAACTTATAATTATTAGTAATTTTTATTCAAAGCCTTTAAAACTATGGTTATAAAGCTTTTAATTTAAATTATATTTAGTAAAATATAAATTTTTAATAATTTATTAATTTAAGCCCATGTAGCTATTAAAAAAAGTAATAAAAAAAGTTAAAAAAAATAATAGGCCTTAAATTAAATTAGCATAAAATTTTTAATTTAAATAATTATAAAATTAGGTATTTATAGCCTGGATAGCATGCTACCATATTATAATAATAATATTTATAATAAAAAATAATAATATTTTCCAAGGTTACTCCGTGGCTAATAACTAACTAGGTAACTATGTTATGTGATGTGTATGCGTCACATGACAATGGAGCTAGCTTAACTAACTAACCACGTCTCACTGTGAACCTTGCCATGACCTTTGTTCATGCTCCCAGAGCGCTTCCAGCAATATCTTTGAACAACCACGCCAGCATACCATGACTGGCTGCTCGAAAATATTTACAAATCCTGTGCCACTTGGTATATTGGCGAACTCACGTCCACCTTCAATTCCATTTTTCCAATCCCTTTCCCGCCCGCGACAGCCCAGATCGGGATACTTCGCGCGGTGGGGCTCCATAATGGCTGAGAACCATCGCATCGAGTACAACTGGATTAAGGGTGTAGAGACACTCGAAAAATATCAGCCTGGGGGTTATCATCCCATCAAGATTGGGGACGTGCTAAATGACAGATACCACATTGCAGATAAACTTGGCTTTGGGGGCTATTCGACGGTTTGGCTTGCCCTGGATACCCATCTGAAGCGATATGTTGCAGTCAAGGTCAATATAGCAGACTCGCTTCCGCGCGAGACAAAAGTCCTTAAGTCTCTGTCTTCTCCCCCGTCGTCCTCACCCGCACACCCCGGGCATGGTTTAGTCCCTGTTTTCCTAGATGAATTCGAAGTGCAAGGTCCTAATGGAAGACATACATGCTACACGGTGACCCCTGCACAATGCAATCTCAGGGAGATCTCCTTTAGCCGCCTTTTCTCCCTCAGAGTTGCTCGAGCACTGTCATACGGACTTACACAGGCCGTTGCTTATACACATTCTCAAGGCTACGTTCACGGAGGTTTGCGATCACGATATCTACGTGCGTTTGACCTGTAAGCTGACGCTCGCAAATCGCTGATCTAGATATACACCTTGGCAATGTTTTGGTCAAGCTCCCATCAAGTTTCGATGATCTTTCCATCAAGCAGCTTTATGACAAGTACGGTGAACCGGAGACAGTCCCCGTCACACGATGTGACGGGGAGCCATTACCCCCTAATGTGCCTGCCAAGGCAGTTGTGCCGCTGTTCTTAGGAAAATATGCAGAAGAGTTCTCACTATCCGACGCGCACCCGCTTCTTAGTGACTTTGGTGAGGCGTTTTCACCCTCTTCAGAAGATCGTCTTGGGCAAGACTGCCACACGCCACCCGCTTTTCGAGCTCCAGAAGCCAAATTCGAACCGCAAACCCGCCTCGCATATCCCTCAGATATCTGGAGTCTGGCTACGGCAATCTGGGAGGTCATCGGAATGAAAGCTATTTTTAGCACCGATTTCGTGCATGAGGATGAGATAGTCTCTCAACATGTCGATGTACTTGGACCTATGCCTTCGGAGTGGTGGCGGCGTTGGGAAGGACGACCGCGATTTTTTGATGAGGATGGGCATCCAACAGAATCCCACAGGGAAAATAGATGGCCTCCGCTTCAGGAGTCATTTGAGGTCGGTGTGCAGAAGTGGAGACGGAAATTAGGGGACGAGATGGAGGAAAGCGAGAAAGCTGCGTTTCTGCATTTGATGCAGCGAATGCTGTCGTTCCGGCCAAAAGAGCGACCGACAGCTGAAGAGGTGCTAAAGTCGGAGTGGATGGTCAAATGGGCATTGCCTGATTACGAGCGGAGCCAAATCTAGTCACTTTGATTACAGCAGGTGAAAATGGGAAGTTTATAAATGGATTCAGAGCGTCCATCATGCTTATATATAGCCATATCTCGAAGACTACATGCCCTGCCGCATTTGATAAGAAATTGGCCTCTCGATGAGGGCCCATATAGCCTAGAATGCCAGCTTGGTGCATTAAAATTCCCTCCAGTAGCATACAACCACCATAAGCATGAAGATCCTGAACATCGATATCGAAACCCCTAGAGTAAAAGTCCATGTGTAACGTCTGGATTGTAGCAAATTCCTTGCGCAACAGAGAGCCACGAGCCCCGTAATTCAACACAAGCTACTACTTAGCAGCTACCCTTGAACTGGTAGGTGTGAGTAGCCGATAGGACTGCCTTTATATTCTTCAAGGAACTCTTCGGCTGGCCAAACAATCTTATCGGACCGCGGCCCGCCACGACGAGTGCTGTCCGCCTTCTCTGAGGTATGAGTAGCTTCCTTAAGAGCAAAGTCCTCTTTACCATCGGTATAACCGTGTGATGCCACATGGTATTCACGGAGAAGCTGATCGCTACCCTTGAAGGCGAAGGTTCCATGCCAGCCTTTAGGATCTACGACATGCCTGCCGTTGTTGGTGGTGGTATTGTGCATGTCGGAACTAATAGGAAACTAGTTAGCATATAATTATGACGAGATATACATTTGAAGTAATGGTAGTGCTTATATGTATCAAGATAAAAAGAGTGGACAAAGCGTGATAGCGACCTTCGGGTACCTGACGACTCACCGAATCAAAATTGCTTTGGGGGCCAGTAGTTGATCCCGTGCTGTCGCATAGGCTAGGGCTACTAAGCTCCTTTTGCGTTCGGCACTGATAGTGTTTCCACCGTAGAAGAAGATTCTAACAAAATTGACACCCTCTCTAGCACCAGCCATATTGTTCAAAGGCAAAAAAGTGTATATATAGCTTGGGAGGCTTCAGACCAAGAGACCTTGGGATGTAGTGAATAATACCGAAAGTCATATTCTGTCGAAGGCAGCTTATTACCTCTTTATATCTCCTTGCTGGAGAACTTGCATGGCTGATCACGCCTCTCTTTTGGCGCTCAAAACGACAATTTAGTATGGTGAGTGGGCGGCTAGATATCTAAGTATAGAAACCGAAATCATTTCGTTGGTGAAGTCAAGTTAAGCGTGCCTATTAATTCTCGGCGCTAAAATTGCGTCCAAACATTGAACCGCTCCTCCCAATGCAGCGACCAGACTTAGTTATTTATAGAGTAACCAAGCGATAAAGCCCTCGATCACATTCCCGTTTTCCCTACCGGGTTTCATATACCTGGCTTCAAATTAACTTGATAGGTTGTAGATAGGGAGTTTTATAGCATACAAAGCATTCGACCGCAGCAATGGAAAGAACATGGTGGACCGGTGCAATTTGTTGCTCAACTGGATATTATGCCCACCTTCGAGTATAAATACGCTCTCGAAATTCGAAGACTGAAACAGTGCCAGGCAACTACAAAGCAAAAATACATGCCTTAGCTAATGCTGTACCTCCTTGGAGCCCACGCAAGGTGTCTCAAGGAACGCCGGTTCCTTGGCAGCGGGAGAGGCCGAAGCGCTAAAGTCCTGAAACGGGGGATCAATCCACTGTAAACGAGTTAGTCTTTTTCAACAGGGTAATTCAACTATTTAACAGGGTTTTATAAAGCGGAACCCTAATTAAAAGCGGGTGCTAACATAATTAGAGAGGTTCTGCCACGTAGGCATAGCAGTGTGCTTAATTTTATTAGGTTAGCGCGGATTTAAACCAGTAGGCGGTAAAAATGTAGGCTAAAAATTAAGCACACGGTGTGCTTGTTAAGCACACCGTGTGCTTAATTTTAAAGGGTTTAGTGGCTTTTTAACTAGGCTTAGCGGCCTTTTAACTAGGCTTAGTACTATGGGTACCCTTATTATAAAGCTTATAATTGGCCTTTTTTTATCTATCCTATCTTAGTACCTTTTAGTGCGCCGTGCCAGGGGTTACGTAAAATTACCTAATTTAGAACTGCCGGCACTATAAATTTAACAAGTTGCGCCGAGCGCTCCCGTGGCAGAACCTCTCTATTAACCTATTATTATTTTTTAATTAGGCTTAACTTAGTAGTAAAATACTTCGCGCGGGCGCGCAGCGCGTGTAAAGTTATTTATTTTAAATAATTACCCTTTTTTAAATTAATTAATAAAATTCTTGTATTTTATTAATATAAATATAACTTTTAAATATTTAAAATAGTTTTAAAATACTTAGTTTAGTTAAAATTATAAAAAAATTAATTTTATAAAATAAGGGTATTATTTTGTTTAGCTAGGGTTAAGCCTGAAAAAATAATTTTACTAGTAAATTACTAGGTAAGTTATATAATAAGGCTAAAACAGCGGTTTATTAAAAAATTATCTAGTTTGCTTAGTCGCGCTAAGAAAGTCATCCAGTTCATTAGGCGTGTGGTTTACAGCCAGAGAACAGCTCGGCCCAACTTGTCTACTGGTCACCATAACTAGTTTAGTTACATAACCTAGCGGCTTAGCTTACCTAAGCTTACCTTTAAACTTTACTTATAATTTTAATTATAATACAAATATAATAGTTATTAATACTAATAAGGCCTTAATCCCTTATATTATTTTTCTTAAATAAAAAATATTTTAAATTATTAAAAAATCTTAATTAAAACCTTTTTTACCTTTTTTTATCCGTTTTTATTTTTTCTACTTTTTTATTTTATTATAATATATTTATTACTATACTAAAAAAATAAATAATAAAAATTACTTTATAATTTATTTTTATAACTAATTTAAGCCTAGACTATTTATAAAAGTATTTAAAAATTTTAAATAAAAAAGTAGTTATACTAGACCTTAAACTAAAGGTAAGTAAAATTATTATTATTAAAAAATAAAAGTTAAAAGTACTTTTAAATTATTTTTAATTTTTTAATTTTTAACTTTTTTAACCTTATATATATTCCTAAAAAGGAGTTTAAAATTAATTATTTATAAAATAATAAAATAATATACTTATTTTTTAGGAAGACTTATTATAAGATTAAAAACTATATTAGTAAGTTTTTGTTAACCTATAAAAAGTACTTTTTAATTATTTTAAATAAATTTTGATAATACTAATATTTTTATAGCTACTTTACTAATAGGTATACTATTATTTATTTTTTTATTAAAATTTATAAAAATAAAAAAAAATATTAGGGGCTGCCCAAAGATTACTAAAATTGAAAAAATTAAAAATAAGATTTGAGCAAAGATTGGGAAGCAGTCGGAGGCATAGACCGAGGCGCGGGCTGGTCGGATCGAGTACGAGCTGGTAAAGACGTAGGATAATGTAGGGCACGCTCCGACGGTGCCTGTGGAGCTTTAATATCCTCTATCTCTCTAGAATTATACCATTTGTTGATCTCTGGCATGTCTGGGGTGTTCCATCCACGCATAATGTCGTCCTCGTTCTCTAGATGCTCCACCAAGTTCACAAGGAGAGTCATTTCATGTTTCTCCCTCTTCGAGATGCCTTGTGCCCCGTTGTCCTTCCTGACTTGCAATACCGCTTGCCCTTGACAAGGGGACCGAGTTCGTCGACCGTAGCTTCTTCCCTAGACCACCATATCATGGAGATAGTAGCTAGACGAGGAGAACCCACGGGCAAGCAGGTCTCGTTGCGCCCAGCACACCGAGCACACAGGACGAGCCTTCTCCTGCTTTAGGAAAATGGCTTCGTCGTATGTGGAAATCAATAAAGCTATGCATAGCTTTGCCTTCAGCATGCAGCTGGCCTGCCCTGTGACTGGGGTCAGTACACTAAATATAAGATATAACACTCACCCTGAAAACGAAAGAGGTAGAAGGGAAAGTGACGGACTTACCAAGTGCTCTCCCGAGCGCGTCATCACCCCAGAACATGATTGTTTTCACGTAATGATCTTCGACCCATGGCGTCTTGAACTCGCACCCCAACAAACGATATATGTCATAAGCGAGGATAGGCTTAGAACCGAACAGGATCCTGATGGGTAGGGGCTGGGGTTGCTAGCCTAGTACTGTATTGGTGTAATGGAGCCAAGCAAGTGGCATGGCTCGTCCCGGTGGTTCTTCAACTTTCCCATCCATGCGAGATATGCAGTTCTATTGTGTGCTTGATGAGCCTGGACAAGGCAAGCAGCTAGGTTGGGTGAGAAGATATCGGTACGAAAACCCATTAATATCACCGAACGTCGAGAGATACAGCCCCAACAGGAAGATTCCTGGTCCACTGGTGAGCCCATGGCCTTGAGGATTGCCGGTAGCCCGCGGATTGTTAGTGTTCGGGTCTTTGAACTCGATACCAGATCTGGAAAGCTGGTCCTGATGGTACTCGGGGAGCCTTTTTCCATCCTGGTTAAAATCATATGGGTATTATCGTAATCACCCAACTGCTGATCTCGGATACCATCGCAGACCTTCGCAGACCGTAATCTTGAGGCCATCCACGATTCCAAAGATAAGGAACTTATCCTCTCAAGCATGGCCGAACAAAGCTGGGCTTTAGGGCTAGCCAGGCGTTTGTGTTGTCTCCCGCGGCCCGCCGTTGTAGGTCATCAATTGAACTGAAGGGACGATGAAGCATGAGCTTCACCCGGGCATGCTCTTCTCCTTGAAGGATCTCGTCGTATGTTCCCTGGTCGGCAATCAAGATGCACGACCGCTCTCGAGACACCTTCCACCGAGACGTCCTATCTTATACATGTTCTGCATCGAGAAAAGCTTGCTCGGCCCAACACTTCTGGGATTGTTCGTGTCTGTCATCCAGCGGGCAGGACCGGCCGTAGAAGTCCCGGGACTGACTGATGTTGCCAAGCTTGGAATGCTATCGAAATGGCACCGGCACGGCCAGCGAGGGGGCACCGGGGGTACTCACGGGGATTTGAACTCCACGTAGGCCAAGGTATACCCAGCCGAGATCATTAGCACCATGTCCCGGACCAAGTGTAGGCTTTTGCTGGAACGGACTTACAAAGCGAACAGTTGTTGCGCTTTTCTCTCGAGAAGCAGTTGGCACGCGCCTCCAACTTGGCGAACGGCATGCCTGTCAAACTGGGGAGCAAGGACACGTCCTCTGACACGTGAGATGAATAAGGCGTGCATCAAAGTGTTCGTGTCTGACGGAGAGCGCAAGGCGAGCGACCCTCGCTGTCATCCAGCTGCTCATCGCTTCAGGTGGAGGTAGGTCTCATGTGGCTGGCTGCATTCCACTCGCGGTTCGACCTCCGTTTTGACGCCGGATGCCTAGGGTATGCGACGCAGGTGCACCTATCGAGCGTTAGACCTAGTTTATGCATGATGCATAACCTGAAGGACAAAGAGCCACTACGAGAGACTACGAGGAACTACGAAGACTACCTAGGTACTTACCTACTTAGGGCACATGCGCCCCTACAACCCCAAGACCCTGCAATGCACAATCAATGAGAGAACCTAGACCCGACATGCGAGTATTCAGTCGGCCTTAGCCGAACTCGGATCGCAAACATCCCCACCTCAGACTGAAGAGGAGAGAAAAGCGCCGACGGGGAGAATCCAGAAGACGGAGAGAGCCCGCAAGCCGGGGCGAGAGCGAGATATTTATACCCGGCGAGGAGGGCGCTCGGGCCACCGAATCGCTGGAGAGGGAAGGGGGTCGTGAAGGGATCATTGACTGTGGCGGTTACATCGAGCTGGAATGGTGGTCGTAGTTGTGAATATGCCCTAGATTGAATGGTGATTCGGCAATAGTGACAAGGAAAATGTGACTTCAGGGGGAAAATAGCCCTGGAACAATAGTAGGAAGGCTTAGTTCGCGAAGGTAAAATGGTCGGTGAAGGGCCTTGCAGCGAAAGTCACAGAGGCAGAGAATGCATTCGGTATGGATCGTGTCTAGATGATTAGGGCTCGTAGTGAAACATGAAAGCGAAGCGAAGCATAGCAGACAATCGAGCTCGTTTTAAGTAACATAGGGAAAGGCAAAGAATGCAAATGAGATGATGGTACATTCTCAAGCAGAAGAAAAGTAGAAGCAACGCTGTCTATAGCCGACAATGAAACAAACCTCAAATCTTGCGAGAGATATACCCGGAGATGATGCAGCACGCCATGCAATGAAGACGACTCAACCCAAAGCCAACGCCGATGCAAGATGAGACCGAGACATAGGAGATGATGGTAGAGAAAGATATGCGTAGGAAAGAAAATAAGAAGAAAGAGAGTAGTGTACAGTCAATCGAACAAGGTGCAACCTGATAGTATCCATCTCCTGTTGACCTGCCAGAGACCAACCGTTATAATGACCAAACGTAGAACAAAGGAAAAATGCATCACGATCGTGAGTCATTGTAGGCCCGGCTACAAACACTGTCCGGTAAATGCGGTAAGAGATTGTCAATTCTCGGAGCTCCAGCTCCAGTATGATCTGGTTTAGGTAGCCGCTTCAGTCGTTGACCATGTTTTCCAACGCCATCTTACGGCGCTTCGCGGGTCTCGAAGAGTCGCTCTCGTCTGTTTCATGCGCCTGCTCCCGTTGATCATCGTACGAGCGAGTAGCCGCCAACCGGGCTTGCCCCTCTAGGGAAAATTCATCCACGAGTGGGTTCTGGATACTTTGTGCGTCATCCGCGGTGGCTTGTGCCTGACGCATCAGGTTGTTAGGGGATATCGGCTCTATAAATCCCCGCTGGCGAAGGTCTTGGGCTTGCTGCGGCGGCGGCGACCACGTCCCCGGGTATGAATCGCTGACTCGGTACGCCTGCGGTGGTGGCTGCGGATTGGGAATGGGAGAAGAGTAGATCGGAGGGAGTCGAACGGGAGACTCAGCGTATCCCTCGCGAGGGTCTCTTGGCGCAGGGACGGCGGCTTCGCCCATCGGCATTCGATTCATGACTCGTGGGTTTTCTGGGTACGAGGATATCGGGACGCCGTAGTGCTGATACTGCGGAGGCGATGGGGTAGGGTGCATTCCAGGGCTCGGATAGGGGATCGGCCTACCAACGCCAACACCAACACCTGGCGGCATACGGCCAGCTGCCAGAGCTGGATTGTAGCCTGTGGGAATCGGCGCATAGCCCGTTGGTGAGACCGAAGCCAAGGACTGGGTAGATCCGGAGGAAGAGAATCGTCTATGGCCTATCGCTCGCTGCGTTGTCAAGGAAGGGTCTATGGTGTGCGGATATACTACCGGCCATCGCTGCGGTTGTCCGGGTGGTAGACGCCCGCCCATCATTCCAGGCTGCTGTTGTATCTGGAGATCAGTCATGGGCCGAAGTTCGCGGGAAGACGTCGTGCGGTGCATTGGCCGTCTCGCCTGCCCTGGGTCGGTGGGCGCGCCCCGGTGATCCATCTGCGTTGCGTACGTTCGAATTGAGCCTTCGTCTGCTTTCAGCGGCGGTCGCCCTCGCTTTTTGTGCGTGACATCAACGCAGGTATCCTGAACTCAGTTAGCAATCGGCCCTGGCTCTGATAGAGATGATCCAGCTGCGTACTGCTTTTCCAGACAACACGCATCTCCGGCAGGGCCGGGCCGGATCGCAACCCAGGTGCTTCTTCTTACAGTTCACGCATGCCGATGCGACGTGAGCTTTCGTACGTCGGGTCGTCTTCTGCGGCAACGTGCGAGGCACTCCGGTTATGCCAGCTCCAAATGCCGGCGGATATGTCACTGTCGAGGGTCCCGCCGTTGGCTGCCCGGTGAATGTCGGTGGAATTCGTGAAGAGGAGAATGTATCGCTGTAGTGGAGCGGCTGTCGAAGGGCTTCGTCACTCGGCCCGGTCACATATCGCGGCAGCGCTGGCTCTCGAGCAGTGACATGGTCTGGAAGTGTTGAAGGAATAACTCGTGGGACTGCTGATGTCACAGCAGCTCCCGCAGAAGTGACGGTGGTAGTCACTGGCTTCGGCAGCTCCGGGTGGCCAGGGCGCCTGACATTTCCTAGAGTCTCCAACGGGTCGTCTGCTGGGACGGTGCTGGACATAGAGGGGAGAGAGAAATCCCTGGGCGTGTACCGTCTCGCATTGGCAGACCGAGGGCTCCTCAACAAGTGCCGCTCGGGGCCTGGGAATCGAAGGTGTCCAAAGTCTGCTGGCACGAAGGAGGGAGGGAGGACGAGAGATTGCATCTGGTAACTTTACAAAAAGGTGGTCTGGAGACGGGCAGCAGCATATCCGGCACTCAAAGACCCTCGGTTGGCAGGCATAGTTGAGCCAGCAGCGCAGAGTCGGGACGGCGAAGCTTATAATCAGTCAGCAGCAAATCCCAGTCGGAGGAGTCACAAAATAGAAGACGACGATCAGATCGTGACGGCAGGGTTCCATGGCTTCGATGGTTCCCAGGTGGGCTCGATTTATTGCAGCATGGTGGGCGATCACTGGAGAAGGGGCGCCAAAAGCAATACCGCATTGGGGTATCTTACCTGCGAACCCGTATTTTTCTTTTGTTTTCGTCCCTTCCTTGAACCTCCTGGCTTATTTCTCCGGGGACGGTAAGCAATCTAATGCCGGTATACAGAGTGAGGCGCCAGTAAAACCCCGTCCAGGCCAGAGACAGGGAGAGGGCCGTAACACCCAGGGGACCGGAGAAATAGGCAGCGTCCAGAGGGGGAAAAGGAATAGGAAAGTTTCCTCTAGCGTCGGGTTCTTGGGAGCAAAAAAGGCCAAAGAATCCGATGGCAGATGCGATGGATATTCTCCTGCGGTCGTACTGGGCTGGAGGCTAGCAGGGTGGGAGGAGGTTCAAGGCAGACGCAGGTTCTCGCAAGGTTATAGTTCCTTTTGCAGACAATGACAATGGGCGAGGGGATGGCCAGTGCGGGCGCCTGGGCTAGCAGCCGATAGAGAGATCTCCATTGCGTCGATCCTGATGGGGATGGCCAGGTGGGAGTGGGTAAAAGGATGAATAGCTCATCCTCCAGAATCCAGACTCTCAATCGGGTAGGACTCCCTGACTTACCTAATGCCTGCCTTTGTACTCTGGGACCAGCATAGCCTTTACACCTTACGGAGTAGTACGTAATTAATGTGGATTGCTCATTCGCGATATTAACATTAGATTATCTCAAGAACATTTTCATCATTTCAACGATCTACGAGCATCCCCAGCTGTGACCTGTCAGACTTCCAGGCTAAGGCGAACGCAAAAACGGACAGAGGGGCGGCACGATCGACACCGTAGCGCCAATAGTCCGCTGCTCTCAGCAAAACGTCTTTCCCTCTTGAGCTTGTCTGCATCTATAGTCGTTCCTCCCGTTAATTAATTATTAATCTAAATATTCAGATTGAGAAGCAGATCCATCCACTCTGACCGTCTACGCGCATGTCCACGCGACTCGGCTTCCTACGCGTCGGGGATTTACCAAGGCAAGGCAATTCTCCCAAGCCAAACTAGCGATTGTCCATCCTCGGGCCCAGCACTCTAGGAGAATTTCCCATCTGAGTCCATGGGTGGAACGGAACGTGGGAGCTTAGATAGTCGCCGCCAATCCATGAGGTCGGCTTATGCCTAAATATTGAGTCCAGGTTGATCCAATAGCTTCGTTGTCTGAGCTTCCCCTCCTCGAATCCTGCTTTGCTGTTCTTGCGCGGAGATAATCGGCCAGGAGCGTTGGCTTAGCTCTCACGCAAGCTTCAGGCAACCTCTTACCTCGAAAAAGAAAAGACATTGACTCGGGGAAAGAAGGGAAGCGGAGTCAACGCACCTGCTCGTCACGAGTAATGTCGCCTATTCGTGACATCAGCGTGCTCAGTATTGGAGTACGGTAGATACCCTTTAGCTCGGGGACATACCACCGTAGCGAGTGGTGGCTTTCTGAGAGGTCTCACCGTGAGTTCTCAAGCGCCATAGCCACTATCAAAATACGCCTCCGGCGTACAAGCGCGCAGTTCGATAGTCTTTGACTGGAGAGGCCAGCAAACGCTTGAACGGTCGAAAGTCGGCTTTGACGAATGACACGAATTTAACCGGCCGAGCACTCGAGCATCCTCAGACGCAGTGGCACGCCGCATTTCTCCGCAGACCGCATACAGTGCCGACCAACCCCACCATAATGTTCACGAATCACACCTCACCGTGCAGTCTGGCAGAGCTGCGGTTGTTGGCCCTCGCTTGACGGCGTTAAAGACAGCCCGCATGGACACCCATGTCTGCGCACCGATACCTTTGGACTCCCGGTGTGTGAAGTCGCATTTGTGGATGATCTTCGTCACGTCCCTGTCAGTCCTCGAAGATCCGCACGATTCCAAGCGGAGTCCGATTCCGAAGCGTGGCGTGGGATGAACCCTAACTCGGCGCTTATTGTGACATTGTCCCGCAGCAAACAATCGCTCGGAAAACGAGGCTAGCGAGTTAACTTAGGAGATAGAGTGAAGAGTGACATGTCGTTACTCCGGTGTGGCTGCAGCTACTGCGTCAAGGTGGAACAGCCTTCGAGCTTGATCACCTGAGCCCCCGCCAGCGTCCATGAGTAGTAGGAAATATTCCGTCGACCAAGTGAAATTACCGTAGATATTGGGGTACTCTGTCATTGGGGTACTCTATCGATCAGGGCTATCGAGGACAGAGACCTGGAATGGTGTAGTGAAGGGAAGAGTGTTGCTCTTACCGGCTTGCCTTATCCGCGATCGCTGGCAGAGCGTTGAAGATCATGTTTGCATCGTAAATCCATGACTGGACCCAGAGTGGCCCATCTTATCTCGACCATTCAGCGACCAGGCTTCGGCGTTCGATGTCTGACCTCGGGGATTTCCTAGTCCGCATGTGAGCTCTACCATTGGCCTTTCCCCGACGAACCAGGCCAATCGAGTGCGAGGACGAGGAAAAAGGGTGCATAATTATCAGCCAATGTCCAAGCCAATAGTGAGTGTGCAAAGAGTTGAAACACGAGCGCTTACCCAACCATCCAACCTATCATCAACGCAAGAGCAAGAAAACTGACGACCTGAATGCAGGCGACTGAAGAACTTGATTCTTGTGCGACATGCCGCACGCGGCGATGAAAACAAGGGGTCCAGGATGGCTCTTGTCAAGCGCTCTGCGCAGTGCTCTCGATGGCCTGTTGGGGACGGTGACAAGATGGCAATGGCATTAACCCCATGGCTGAGTCTAGGCGTTGAGTCGGCTCGCTCGAGAGGGTCTAGAGAACGGCCGCGGTTCATGCAATAACTTGGATGGGGCCAAACGCCAACACAATGATCTGCAGTGAGGCCTCAAAGTGTCAATAGTGCAGCGCGCTAAGCTTGTCTTAGCCTGAAGGGGTAAAGGGGCGGGCGGATGGCGGACGGTGGTAGGGTTGACGCTGGAGATGACATGGGAGAGGCCAGTGACAGTGATGGCGGTGCAGCCAGGGCGCAGAAGGATGTGACGGAGCAAGCTCTATTCAGGTTCCTGCGAAACCATCCAGACGCCTGGGGTCAGCCAAAATCCAGTAACTCGATCAGCGCCAGCTGCTGTGTCACCCAGGCAGCTGGATCGGGGTGTCACGTCAGGTGAACTCACCTCGGAGGGGCAGGAGCTCCATTACTGGCATCATGGTCTCCATTGTCGAAAGTATACCGTCATAATTAACTGCAATTCTGAAAAGGAGCTGAAGGCTGAAGAAGCTTGAGGGACTTTGGCAGACAGACGAGTCGGAGGAAGAGCCCGAGCCGAGGCGCGTTTCCCACAAACAGTTTAGCGGGTCCCGTGCAGTGTCCGGATGGGGCCTAGCGCGATCAGCTCTATCCCATTCTCCGTCTCCCTTCCATGGCACAACCTGGAGTCCTTGACCGACGGCACCACGCCATCTCCAGTCCGCCGGACAATTTCGTTGATCTCCTTTCTTTTTCTGCGGTTCGTCCGTCGTTGCGTACCCGTCACACCCTCAGCCGCTCGGCTCATCAGCCCGTTCACGCTAGCTGCTCTCCTGAGCGCCATCCGGGCTGTCACCTCTCTCACAAACCACGGAATTCGCCGTTCCTGGCATCTACATTCGTCTGCTGGCAGATTACCGTCCACCTGGTTGTACACCCGTGAATCCTTCCGGCCAGGGAGAAATCTTCCGAAAGGGTCCTATCCAGAACGCCCAGTCGGCTTTGTAACATACTTCACTCTGTGTCCCTCGCCAGGGAATCATGGGTCTCAGGCTCTCAGCATTTGCAGCCACAGTGGCAGAGCTGTGAGATCTCATCTCTCAAGACGGCCACGACCGCCCCCGATTCGCCTTCGCAAGTCTTAGCTCATGTCGGACTCGCCGTTATTGTACAACGCTGCAGTGGTTCGTGGCCAGTCAGTTGAACGTCAGGGAACCATGAGGGCAACTATGGTTCGATCATCTTAGGTTGTTGGCAATGCTAAATCGTTTTGCAAAAACAACATCATCGGGGATTTTAGCACGACACAGCAGAGATAGTCAACAAGGCAAATCCATGACATGAACCCAATCGGGCATCTATCACGCGTCATCGAATGCCATCGCCTTGTCAGCTTCAGCAGTACAATGCTCCTCGGAAGCTCGTCGCGTTTGCCGGTTGGGTATTTGAACCTCATGCAAGGTGTCCTGCGTACTAAGTGTCTGGATAGCAGGGTTGAAGTAGGCAGTCCAGATCTCAACATTTTCTGATTGCCTTGCATGGTGGACGACGCAGATGGAGCCAATTATTGCTTGTCCGACCGCTGGGCATGGGTTGCTTGACGTCCAGATTACCAACAAGCATATCCAATCGCTCGCCACGAACCGTTTCTAGGACATCGCACGAGAGCTGGCATGATCATACAATAACGGCTACAACCCAATTGCTCCGTGGACTGTCAGCGATACAAGAGTGGACGTTGTCTCATAACGTGGTTTCCGCGGCGCCGTGCAACCACACCAGAATCTTGCATTCAAGCTTGTGATAGTTCCATACGGCAACAGCAGACGACTGACGTGCATTGGCCGCTGCTCTCATGGCAGACGGTGAGCGAGTCATTTTTGGTTTGTTGCAGTTGATTATATGCGGCAAGCAAGGGCGACGTCGTCCCGCAGTCTGTCCAATATCGGTGTGGGCCCAAGGGCAATAAGAGCCGCCCCATACGGCAGTGCATTAAACTCTCCTCAGATCTCGACCGTTCTTGCTCCATCCGGGTGTGACGTTCGGCAGGAAGTGCAAAAATAGAACCCCCGTTCAACGAATCTGGATTTTACCCCCAGATGAAGGCCAGCAAGCCATACCTTGCGTGAAGGACTTGAACTGCAAATTTGAAAGAAGTCGGTGAGTATATGGTCAGTATCAGAGACACGCCGGCTGCCTAGATGTCCCCCAGATTCGGCCGTAGCCGAAGTTCTAGCATCGTTCTTACGAGTTTCAAAGGATATCCGCAGCCGGATCCGGCTCGGACCGTAAATGGACTCCAATCCAATCACAGCGGTGACAATAGTTCTATTATCGACTTCGGAATATACACAGTAGCATCACGTTATGGTCCAGCGCACCGGAGAATGCCTTTACAACGGCCGAGAGTGGATCAGAACTGACTGCACGCCTCGGGCTGTTATACTCGGCGCACCGGTGGGCCTTCACTGACTTAGGCCAACGCAGCCCATCAGTCGTTGAAGTCACGCCCAAGTCGGTCTTCATCGTACCCCTGCAGTATCTCAGGCAATTGCGCTAGCCTCGCCTTGCAGATATCTGGCCCTTGATTCCAGAAGGCTACTCCATGGTGTCTTCCTTCCTATCAGGTTTTCCCCATGATAGCCCGTCGGCATATGGTCCAATGGGCCATGAAAAGCAAAAATAACAGGTCCCTCCTTATGCAACTTAATCCATCCTGCTGCCGGGAGTGGTCGGCTTCTCACTCACAGAAGCGTGATCGGCTGTTTTATCGAATATTCCGGTCAGATTCGCTCGCATTATCGAGGTATGGGCTACTATCACCGTAGGAATTAGACCACCTGACGACGGACTCTACTCCGAACCTCCATATCCCAGGTGCACCTCCTTTCGGAGTCTAGAGAAAGTCCGAAGCACCTTGGACATCCCAGGAGACAGGACGAGGGCGTCCAGGGCCAAAAGCAGCCAGTAACCAGCGACCATCAGACGGTGACAAAGCCGATTATTGACGCCGCTGCGGCATTCCTCCCTTCGCTCTATCTCCGATTGCAGTGCACGCTATTGTGGCCAAGACTCCCTGTTTAGGATTTATCCATCCGGCATCGCCTGCATGAAATCAAATTTGCTGGGGATGTGACTCGGAGAGTCGGATGTGATATGATTTGTGATGTGTCGATTTCTGGAACCAATAATATCGGGACTGGCGCCCCTTCGTAAACGCAATCGGGGCGCTCCGAGGTTTCAGCTTTTCGTCGGTGTGGCTGTGGTCTTCCTTCAGTAACGGTGTGCCGGCGTGGGGAGATGGTCTCAGGACTTGCGCCATGCTTCTACTTCTACTGTCTTGGCACGTTCAGGTATGATCTCTAGCAAGGCAATAGCACTCATCAGTTCATGCTCCTATGTCTCAATTGCTAACGTATAGATGAGGATCAACCCCACTAACTCAGTAGCTCCTGCCATGTATCGAACTCCAGAACCCGCCCCTCCTCCGCGCACCTATATCTCGACCGACAACTCCCCAGTCGTCGCCCAGTATACATTATAGTTGAAGTCGTGGGCCTCATAGAAGGCAGTCAGCGTGACGTTTTGGCCATTTGCAAGCGCGGTGAATGCCAGTGTCGAATCGGATTCCACTCTGCTCACCGTGTCCAGCGCCAGTGTTGGGGTTGAGCTCAATGCCGAATCACCGTAGTCGCCGCAAAGCACAGTCGGTCCGTAAACAATAGCCTCGATGCTGGAATTGTCGTTGGCAGGCCTCGTATACAAGCGCATTGGAAAATGGAGCTGCACTGTGTCTCTGTCCGACCAGGTACGTGTGATGGCTGCGTATGTTCCAGGCTGCAGTAACGTGGTATAGTCGACCCCGTTGACTTTGATTTCCGGGTCGAAAGTCCACTCAGGGATGCGAACCTGGAGCGTCCACTCGCTGGGCTGCTGCTGTGTTTTGATGGTCAAAGTCGTGGTGTCTTCGAGCGGAAACGCCGTCGTCTGGACGATCTTCGTCTGCTTCTCCGTCCAGTCCAGCACAGACGGGATGAACAGATTGACGTACAGCGTCGACGTCTCATCTCGACGGAAGTAAACCGAATCCACGAGCCTCGTATTATGCTCGAGCGCTGTCCCTTGACAGCACCAGAACGACTCATAGTCCGTACTCCAGGTGCCGCCGCCCCAGGCCGGTCCGACGCCACGCCTCCCGCCCGGGTTCAGCGACGTGAAGTACGTGACATGGCCGTGCGGCTCATCCGGATTCTGCTGGCCGAGTAGATGGTTCAGGAGCGCGTTCTCGTAGAATTCAAAGTATGCCGAATCGGCCGAGTCCAGAAGCCACAGTTCGCGCGTGAGCTTGAGCATGTTGATCGAGTTGCATCCCTCACACGTATCAGCCGCCAAATAGCCTGCAATGGCGTTCGGAGCGCGGAAATGCTCGGCCTGGCTGTTTCCCCCGATGGCATAGGTATGCGTATTCACCGTCATCTGCCACGCGTTACGCGCGATGTCGAGATACGTCTTATTGCCCGTCGCCCTGTATTCATGGACCGCACCAATCCACTTCGGCACCTGAGTGTTCGCATGCAGCCCGTTGAGGTCGTCAACGTTCTCTGCCAGCGGCTTCAGCACAGCATGGTGGTCGAACCGCTGAGCGGTAACGAGCCACCGCTCATCCTTGGTATCGAGGTAAATCTCCGCAAGAACATCAGGCATCCCGCCGAACTCCGTCTGCAGTATCTGCTGCATGTGCACTTCACTCAGTCCACTGGTATACGCATCAACCCAGCCCGCAAGTCCAAGCAAGACATCCAGCGCCGTTGAATCACCGATATACCGCCAAACATCCAACAGACCCGCGAGCGTCTTGTGCATAGCGTAAAACGCCACGTTACCGTTCTGGAGCCTGCCCTCTCTGAGAAGAGTAAACTCGCTCTCCGGAAACCCGGACAGGTACCCCTCGGTGAACCCGGCGGCCTCGTTATTCGCCTGACACTTGGCCAGCTCAGCCACGAAATAGGTCGCGCGGTCGCGACATGTTTCATCGCCCAGACTCGCCCAGCATTGTGCCCACGCAGTCAGGAAGTGGCCCTGGACGTGCGAGCGGAAGGGGAAGTCGGGCGCGTCCCAGCCGCCGTTTGGAGTTGCGTTCTGGGTTGACAGGTTGTGGGTTTCTCGGAAGACGTAGAGGAGGCTCTCTACGTCGATGAATTTGAGGTACGCGAGGGTGCGCTCTTGGTTCTCGTGGAAGCGGCCGTCTTGCAGGGTAAGTGAGGACAGGTTAAATGCTGATGCTGGAGCTGTGGTGCTCTGGCACGCTGCCATCGAGATGAGGGTGCCAATTATGGCGTAAAGCCTCAGTTTAAAAAGCATTGTGCTTGGGCTTGTGCTGGCGCTGTTCTCTCTCCATGGCTTTCTCGCAGCGGACAGCACAACCTTTTATAGGTACCCACGAACTAAGCCGAGCAGGCCAGGGTCAGTCCGGATGAACTGATATGCGGTTAATTCTCCGTGGAGTTTTATCCGTATCTTGTCAGCCTTGCTTGTTCTGCAAGTCAGGACCCAGGAGCTATGGGCTCATGCAGGTCCCCGCCGGAGGACCAAGTCTCTTGGGGCTGCAGACTGGGCAGGCTAACTCCTTTCCACCAGTAACATATGTCTAAGGGTCCAGGGGCCCAGCTCGTTTACCAGTCTGTGCAAGATCATCCGAGCAATGGTGGCGTAATGCGGGGTTCCAGGATCCTACCCTGTCGATCTTAGAGACGGCTGATATGGCTACACGACTATTTAACCGATGAGCTGCTAGACTTCACTGTTACTTCCGGTAATGCTCGCTGCAAAGAAGCAAAGCGGCTTTTCTGCTGCCCCCGGCCGGTGCGCTTCATTGTCTCTTCTTGTCTCAAAAGGTCGTGCTTACAACATATGTACGACCTGCAGGGAGGAGAGAAATAGGGGTAAACCGGGGTATCATTACAGGTGAGGCATTGCTATCAAAGTCAGACTCAACCAGGGTCAGTTCTTGCCGATGGCCGTCTTCAAAGCTGGAGCAGGTAAGTACTTACCGGTTGCAGCATTTGTTTCCACCGCTTCCTCGCCTATTGAGCGTCGCGCGCCTGGTACGCATTCGCAGCATTTCCCATGATCCTGTATAGCTGCGAGATTATCTGGACCCCGGACTCTTCGTTATATCACTCCACACAATGAGCCGACAGCTGCTCAATACGTCAGCCCTTTGTTCATCTCTATAAGTCAGGCTGGCCTTGGTGGTAATCTCACCGTATTCTCCGGGCTAAGTCGCAGAAAAAACCACTCCACGGAATCAGTCGACACGCCATATATGGGGACAGCGGCGTGTCCGGCTTTCTTGCGCGCATGATGCAGCATGACTAGATAAGTTGGCAGTATGTTAGCAGGAACCTCGACACAGCCAGTTCACGCAGGCTTCTAGAAGTCTTACACATTTGAACCGTGACCGGATCGAGGGCAGCCCGGGCCCAATTCGTCCTGCATGAAGACCGTGGGTATCTCGATCTCGGTCTCGGTCTTTGCATCTTCGCCTCTCCCATGCCATAGAATCATCCATCTCCCCGCGGATAGTCCTCATCCCGCAGTACATCTCCCACGGCAAGGAGATTGGCGCTCCTAGGACGAAGTGCGCGGTCTGCGTGGACTTGCATCCATTACCCGTACGTTTGACGGCTGCAAGAGTACTCATGAGGATAGCATCGAGTTTCAGCCGGGCAAGAACGCAGGGCTCCAGGTCTTCAGCTTCGTGGTTGTAGTCACGTAAAATCTCCGCTGGGTGCCATGCTTAGCTAGCTAGCCTTACCTACCTATCAAGGCCAAACCTTCTCTCGAAGATAGGTGCACTTACTGAGCTCCTCCGGCACCCTCGGCCTCTCTGATTGACTTAATTCCCAATGGACCTCATAGTTCCAGTTCCTGTCTTCTTTGTCTCCCTCCTCATCACTTGAACCACGTTCGCAGGTTCTCGTCTCTTTGGCTCTGGACCTGGACTTGGGCTTGGTAATTTTATCAAGTTTGGGCATTCGGCGGATGGACTCGGTGCCGGACACTCAGCGCAGGCATTGCAAGACCAGGACAGACGAGGTGGGCTTGGGCTGGCTGGGCTGGGGTGATTCACATCTAGGCATGGTAGGAATTCTGCGCCGGGTTGACTCACGTCTACGTAGAGTTTCTGCGCCTGGAATGCGATCCGTGCCTGTTGTTGATCCGTATGTTTAGCTTCTGTCCACGTGGGTGAGGCATAGGGATTTCAGGCGCTTGCTCCGGTATCGCTGTATGGCTAGAGCAGTAGGTCGGTAGGTCAAGGAATCCTGGAGGTGAAATGGGGTAGATAGCGGTAGCGAGGCCAGGCCCAGCAGGTAAGGTCATGCTGGAAGTGCAGAAGTCTCCAGTTCTGTAAATATATCCAGGTATCAACTATCTACGCAAATGCAAAGGTCTTGAGAGAAGATGACGCAAAAGATTTCGCAGTTTCCGCGCTAAGGCTTTATGGAAGTGATGAGAATAAATACAAGGAACAAGGCTCAATAGCCACATGTCGATTGTCAAGCTGGATCTACCTGATGGACGGCAGTCTCCTCCATAAACGAGAGCAGAAAGAAAGAGCGCCAGGCAGCAGCTGGAAGGCATCCCTATGCATCGATCTTCATACCACTTGCCTCCTCCAGGGTCGGTTCGCGCATTAGAGCGCTTGTTTGGTACGGCGTTATAGTGGCAGCGTGTTCAAGGATTCGATGTAGGTGAGAAATTATCTCTACCTTTCCCGGTCCGTCCTCAGTCCACATGTAATACTTGGTGGTCAACTTTTCATCATGTCAGTCAATGCAATGATCCGTAGGTTATCGAATAGAAGACAGACAAGAACACGAACGTACCTCATTTTTGGTGTTCAGACATAGGAAATACCACGTCTCCCCATCGGTCGCGGCCCCGTATATATCGATGGGGGTTCGATTAGCGCGTTTTCTTGCATGTTGTAGCATGGCTAAGATGAGCAATAGTCAGCAGGGGTAGAGGCACCCTAGGTTTCTGGTAAGAAAGAGACTTACACATGTAGATTTTGGCTTGGTAAAGGCCAGTTTGGGCCATCGAGACTTTCTTGGCTATCACGATCATATTGGTCTCCGCCTCTTTGGGCTTCCCGTAGAAGACGGAATAATCGATTTGTCCTTGAATCGTCCGCTCCTCCCCGTTTACCCTCCAGCGGAGGGAGATTCCGGTTTCCATGTTCACATGAATCGACCTGTAGGACTTGGTTTCCGTCGATGCTTTCTGCCCGAACTGATTGAACTCTTCGCGCTTCTTCGATGCGAGCGTGGTCAAAACGATAGCGTCAACTTTGGCCCTGACGAAAGCTTGATCCCATTCGGCTTCCCCGAGCGCAAGCTCGTGATCTCGCAAGGTTTCATCTAGAGGTGTTAGCTTCGACGGTATGCATTTGTTAGGTGGCTTACCAAGATATTCTGGCACTTCACGCTTTTGCGAGGGTTGGAGATTCCAGTGGGGATGCTCCGGGTTATTGTCTTCTTTGATTCCGAAAATTCTATTGATATTTTGGATGGGGATGTCGGTAACTGCCAGGGTGCGGGGTTCGTTCTTCTGGGTCGTGCCCTGGGCTTCGGCTACGGGCTGGATTGTGCCGTCCTGTCTCTGGACCCTGGCCAGAGCGAAGAAACTGTCGGCCTCCTTCTTCCATGCATGCGCGGCAATCCCATGGCGCTTAGCCAGGTCGTTGAGGTTGTGCTCCAGCTCGTCCAGAGGCTTCATCTTGCTTGTTTTGAACCGTGGTTCGAGGTGCTGGTAGGGTTCTGTGGCATTATCAGAGGTCGCTCAGTAGCTTGAACGAGTATGGGAGAGAAAATGCTTAGAGGGGGAAGAAGGAGCAGGATAGAAAATGGGCAACAGAAACAGAGGACTGGGTAAGACTGACCGCTGTCTTCTTGCTCGTCTGCAGAGGAATAGTCACGGGCTATTGCCCTGGTCCATTGAAGTGAACGTTCCTCGCCCCAGGGTTTGAGGGTGACTGCGTGGTCCATGATTCTGCTAAGCTGGTTGATGATAGCTTCCGCGGGTGTTGGTCGTCGATAGCTTCCTGATGGTTGTCAAGCCAATCGAGGTCGAGTGAAGAGGACTATTCGAGTCACGAGGAGGAAAGGAAAAATGAAAATAGTGAAGGACTGCCTATCCTCATCGAGAGCGAGAAGATCCAGCGGGAGTTTGCCCAACACCATCATTGTTTAAATGGTCTTTATTTTGAATTATCAACGTGACTCACGTCTAACTTTGCTGTCAATGACTAGTCTCGGACGTTTGCCCCGGTATCTTCGTCTCGAGAGAGAAGCTGTGGAGGTCACTGAGCAAGGTGGACCTTAGGTGAGAAACCAGGGGGAAACGGGGGGAGACGGTGCCTATGGAAACCAGAGGTGAGCACATAAAAGGAAAGCAATTTTATAAACATGAGAATACAACTTGAACCTGAGGGTATCCCAGTACTTTTGATGCAAAAACTATATACAAGTATTTGGGTGAAACTACTTCTTCCTCGACGGCCTTGCATTCTTCTCCATACGCCTCTGCTTCAACTTCCTGGCCTTGCGAATGTCGTCCGTATTGCGGATCTCGCTCTTGCCCCCAAACGCCATGCCCCCAACCTTACTCGCCGCGCGCTCCCTCGCAGCCTCGCCCTTCTTCTTCATCTTCTCGTAGTCCCCTCTCAGCGGATCCGCAGCCTTAGGAGCCCTCTCACTCCGATGCCGGAAGCGCTTGCCGCCAAAGCCACCAGGACCCCCAAACTCATTCGCCATGCCGGGCGTCTCCATCTCGCCGACTCTCGGCAGTCTTCCAACCCGCTTGCCCTTCTTCCACGCGTCGAACCGGCCGCTTCGGAAACTAGACGCGATCTTGGCGCCGCTCTCGCCGCGCACGAGCTTCGTCCCCTTCGACCCGTCCTCATCGTTCTGGCGCGCGACGTACTTCTTATGCCGCTTGTCCCAGCGCATCATTGTGCGGGGCTCGCCGAAGCCCTTGCCGCCTTCGTCAGCTTGCAGGTCCATTGTTGCGTTGCGGGTCGCGGACGCGAAGTTGGTGTTTGTGCCGGAGTGCACGCCGTAGGCGCGGTCTTCGGCGAGGTTGACGTTGGCGGGGGTGTAGGACATGAAGTATTCTGGGTTCTGGAAGGAGGTGGCAGCGGCGGTGTCGTCTGACTTGGATTGAGATTTGGATGTGTTGTTGGAGTTATTGTACGAGGAGAAGGTGACTTCGAGGTCGGATTCGGATGCGAGGGACATGTTGTCGGGGATGTTGTCGCCTTCGTCTTCTGATGAGAAGCCGTCGGCGTCGCCGGTGGCTTCATCCGCGCCGTCTGTGTTCGGCGTGGCTTCCATTTCCTCGGCTTGTGCGCGCTGCTTCTTCTTTGCGTCTAATGTGCTTCGGACGCGCTTGATGGAGTCGAGGGCTTCGTCGGGTTCATTGGCCTTGCCGCCCTTGCCGCCGCGGCGGTTCTGGACTTCAAAGATTGTTTCCTGCGGTCGGTACCCGCCAATCCGGGCGAGCATCTTCTCGCGCTCGGCTTCCAGGTTGCTTGTGTCGTCTTGGAAAAGTGGGTGGATGGCTGTCCAGTTGTCTGAGGACACGACCTGCTTTGCGCGTTTGGCACTCTCAGCAGAGGCTGCGTTTCGTGTGCGCAGGTAGAGCTTCTCTCCCTTTGTGGACACGGCACGCTGGGCGAAGATGTCTGTGTCGTCCTCGAGGACTCTGGTCACCCACTCGCAGGTCTGCGAGAGTCCGTCGCGAGGCAAACTGCCGACTGCCACGTCTTCGGCGAAGTTGACGTTGTCTGAATCACGTCCGAGAACGAGCTTGCGGCCGAGGAAGAGCTGCAGATCCAAAAGGTAGGGGCAGTCCGCGTCGCGGACAAGACTGTAACTCCAACCGGTCTTTCCGGCACGGGCTGTTCGACCGACACGGTGGACAAAGATCTTGGGTTGCGAGGGAAAGTCGTAATTGATGACGTTGGCCAGCATAGGCATATCAATACCACGGGCTGCGACATCTGTGACGACGAGGATGTTGGAGACGCCGGTTCGGAAGTTCTGCACTTGGATCTTTCTAGCGGTTTGATCGAGGGATCCGTAGACGTAGGAGGTTGCAAATCCGGCTTCGCGGAGGAGTGAATAAAGGTAGTCGACGTGGTGCTTGGTAGCGGCGAAGACGATCGTGGAGTGTTTCGTTGGCGATTCTTTCATGTTGACACTCCGGTCCATCTCTCGCTTGCGCTTCTTGTTGTTCGAGTCATCCGACTTGTGCCCCTTGAAACGTAGTGAAGCCTCCGTCGGCCCAGTAGGCATCTTGATAACCTCATGCAGAATGTAAAGCAAAGCACCCTCCTTCTCCGCCGACTTGACCGAAAAGAAGGCATTCTGCAAATCAGGCGAGATCTTACTCTCCGTATCCAATCGAACCAGCGTAGGATCCTGCAAGCCAGCCCTCGCAAACTCCACCAGGGACTTGGGCAGCGTCGCAGAGAACAACAGCGTCTGCCTCGTAGACGGCAACCCGTGCAGAATCTCCGTCAACTGAGCGGCGAAACCCATCTCAAACAGCCGATCGGCCTCGTCAAAAACAACATACTTGATACTCGACAGATCCAAATTCATCTCAACCTTCAGATGCAGAAATCGACCGGGCGTCGCAATCACAATATCCGGGTTGCCCGCCATCATGCTAAACTGCTCCTCCAGACTATCACCACCAACAAGCAGCACACACTTGAGGTCCGTCCCCTTCCCCAGCTCCTTGACAACCTTGAGCGTCTGCAGCGCCAGCTCACGCGACGGCGACATGATCAGCCCGCGCGCCCCAAACTTCGTACTATGCGACTTGAGCTTCTCGATCATGGGAATCACAAACGCAGCCGTCTTTCCGGATCCCGTCCGCGCCATACCGACGACATCCTGATCGTCCATGATAACGGGTATAGTCTTCCTCTGGATGGGCGTGGGCACGGAGAAGCCCTTGCGCGTGATGGCCTTGAGCAGATTCGCATTCAGCCCCATGGCCTGGAAGCCGCCGCCCTTTTTGACGGTGCGGCCCTTGAGGTTCGCGCTCTTGCGGTTCGCGGACGTCTGTCGTTCCGCGATGAAGGCCTCGTCATCTTCGTCGGAGTCGGCCGCATTTGCTTCGTTGAGGAAATCGAGATTGAGGTTCTGCTGTGCTGCTGGCGCCTTCTTGCGCTTCGAGGGCTTCGGCTGCTCGATCTCGGAGTCGCTGTCGTTTTGGAAGAGCGCGCCTGTAATGTCGAATTCGTTCTCCGAGAGGGCCGGAGAGGCCGCGCGGGGAGCCATGATGTCTGCTTCCCCGAAAACACTTGGTTCCTGGATTGTGATCTCTTGTCTATCGGCCTCGACTTTTTTTCTGATAACGGCAAAAAAGTAAAGGCGGTGAATGCGGATGCGCGGATCATCAGTTGTTGCGGGGCCGTGTGCAAACAGGGCAAACAAGTTACTTGGCTCCCCGCGACGCGTCGAAGAACACGTCCCGAAGAGGTAAAATGACTTGCTTCCCGACCACTTAAGCTTCTTTCAGTATAACACTCTTGAGCTTTGCACCACATAAACCTCAAACACAATGGGTATACAGCATCTCCCTTTCTCAGCCGTATCTTGCTAATCCATCCAGACTCCTACGGCGGCTACGGAGGTAACTCGTTCAGCGGCGGCGGCGGTGGTGGCTTCGTGCCCGGCGAGACAACCAGTCCCTCTGGAGGAAGGGTACACCCCCTTGCCCCCCAAATCTTTCTTACACCCCTACTAACACAACGCGTGCACAGCAAGAAGGAAACAACACAACCCTCCGCCCCGTAACAATCAAGCAAATCCTCGACGCAACCCAGCCATACCCCGAAGCAAACTACACGATCGACGGGCAAGACGTCTCCTCAATTGTCTTCATCGGGCAAGTCCGCAACATCAGCACACAAGCCACAAATGTCACATACAAGCTGGACGACGGAACCGGCGAGATCGAAGCAAAGCAGTGGGTTACGCCGTCCGACGAGATGGACACCACGGACGATCTAGGTAAAGAGGGGAAAGACCGCAACGGCGTCGAGATCAACGGGTACGCGAAGGTGTTTGGCAAGCTGAAGAGTCTGTTTGGGGACCGCAAGGTCATTAACACGCATTGTGTACGGCCGCTTACGGATCTCAATGAGCTGCATTTTCACTTTCTGGAGGCCGCCGCTGTGCATTTGTTTCATACGCGCGGGGCGCCGGGGGGTGTTGGGGGTCCTGGGGGGAAGGTTGGTGGGGGTGGTGATGCGGCGATGGGTGGGTTGGATGGTGCGGGCGGTGCAGGTGGTGGAGGTGGGATGTTCCCGCCGAGTATGTCTGCGACGGCGCGGAGGGTGCATAACCTGCTTAAAACGGAGCCGCAGCAGAATGAGGGTCTACATGCGCAGTTTATTGCGGCGAAGCTGGGTCTTCCTGCGCCGGATGTGGTGCGGGCTGGCGAGGAGTTGATTAATGCGGGCATGATTTTCTCAACTGTTGATGACCAGACGTGGGTTATTCTGGAGTATTAGTTTATGAGCTTTACTGGTAGCTTGACATGTACAGGCGTAAAAGAAACATCCATTGATCGTATCATATCATCAAACATATATCACATACACTTACAGCCCATCAAGTCATAGCATACTCAACCTACGCCGCCGCATTCCTCCTAACCGCGTCCTCGACCGAGCGATTCCAATCCGTCTGCGTCAAAAACACCGCCTCAATACCACTAACAAGGCAAAGCGCAATTGCAACACCACTCCACAGCCCGAAAAGCCCCCAATCCAGGCCAAAAGCCGTGCCAAAACTAATCGGCATGGCAATAGCATAGTAGCAGAAGAGCTGGACATAGCCTCCGATTTCCTGGCGGCCCAGACCACGCAGGATCCCATTGCAGTTTGTAGCGAGGGCGTCGAAGAGCTGGAACGCGGCGCAGAAGGGGAGGACCTGCGCGACAAGCTCAATGACTTCTTGCTCTGACGTGAAAAGCTGCGGGATGTAGTAGCGTAGCGATGAGATGAGGACCATGTTGCCAAGGCCAACAATGACAGCTCCCCACATTGCGACCTTGGCTGTGGTTTTGGCGGCGTCAACGAGGGTAGCGCCGATTAAGTTGGCGACGCGAGTGCTGGCGGAGATGGAGAGAGTGAATGGAATCTGGAAGGTGATGGAGGAGACAGTGGCTAGAACAGACTGTGCGGCTAGAGGGCCGGTGCCGAGGTATGACGATCCAAGAGTTAAGACTTCAAAGGCAAGGCATTCGGCTTCCACCATAAGGAGACCTGGAAGGGCGAGTTTGATCATCGGGCCCCAGTTGCTGAGGGCGCGTTTGGTCAGTCCATTCCAGCATTCTGACCCGCCAACAAAGTATACGTAGAGGAAGAGGAACAGAGGCATGAGGTTGTCCGTGATGGCTACGGCGATGGGAGCGCCAATAAAGCCCCAGCCAAATTGCTGCAGTTGTTAGTTTGGTCCTGCACGAAACTGTAGAGAGACATACCCAGACGAAGAGCCAGTTCATAAGGGCGTTAAGCGGAGCGCATATCAGCAAGACATATAGCGACGCTGAGAATATGCCCTGTGCCTGAACAAATCGCTTGCCGCTCTCAAAGGCAGCGTACCCTGGAGCACCCAGAATGACCACTTTCAAGTACAAACCAGCCAGCTCAGCCACCTCCCTTTCGGGTACAATTCTGACCAAGACCTTGTCGGCAAAGAACCAAAGTAAGGCAATTGGAATCGTGATGACCCATAGAAAGGCAACCATTCTCTGCATCTGGAGACCGACGAGTTTTCTCTTGCCAGAACCATATGCTTGCGCACAAAGAGTGTCTAAGCTTGTCGCCAAGCCTTGGTAAACTGCAGATTGTTTAGCTTCAGAACAAGGAGGACATGTAATTGAAACGCACCTGCATAGCCCGTGATACTTGCACTCATACTTGCAAGACTAACCGCGCCCAGCTCCGTCTTGCCCAGATGACCGAGGGTAAAAATACTAGCTACGGTCAAAGAATATTGAAGCAGGAATGTGACCACTAAAGGAGCCGCATTCTTCCCAATTACCATCGCTTCACGTCTCCACGTGGTCTGGATCATTCCTGCAATAACGGCTTCCTCCCATTTGCGATCAATGTCTTCCACATCCCGCGCACTATGCGCAGAACCCCTCCGTCTACCCAGCAAAGAAGTGGTTTCATCTACAGGAGCTCGCGAGCCCCTTCGAGACTTAGTCGTCGGAGCCGGCTCGAGAAAGTGGTTGTCGGTCAGAAGGTCTCTTTCATCCTCAATCGCCTCAACCCGCTCCCTCCAAGTAAGACCCTCGTTGTTTTCCGTCTGGTACGGATACGGAACGACTGTCGCATGCGATACTGTAGTAAAGAAGCTGGGTCGCTGATAAGAGCCAGCCAGCGAATGAGACGCGGTGCCGGGATGGCTGCGTACGGGACGGATTGTCGAAATCTCGGAAGCCTCATCGTCGGCGGGAGAAGCCGAATCCGCATCATGGGCGTACTGCTCCAGATCGCGGGCAATGGCTCTTTCGGCGAGCGGAGAGCCGGAACGAAAGCGATTGTGGAATGATCGATCCTCTGGTGCGCTGAGCGCAGCGATTCCGTCACGGGCCATGATTTATTGGGGTAGGTGAGAAGCCGTCGTTCAAAACTGTCGCAATATCCTCATCACGGTGGCGCAATTGCACCTGGACTGGTAGAATTAAGATAGGATTGTCCAGCGAGAATGAAGAGCAGAGATTGGAGAAGGGAAGAGGGCGCATAAGCTTAAATAGTCGAGTCCTTGCATCGCGCTGGACAAGACTTTGCCTGGACCGTTTCCGTAGTTAAGCCGGCCTCTGGGCTGACGGGTCCACACTCGAGTATACAATTTTCAGCCGTGACTCACAGGGCTATCCCGGTATGGTGGCTTCTTTGAACTTGAATGATGGTCTTGCTATTGAGATAGGCACCAATGAGCACCTGCATCACACACCAACGGAATCGATGGCTGACGGCTGTTGAAGGACGCAATACTGTTCGCTCGTGTTGATGCTGATGCTTGAAGCAAAGGACGCCCCGCAGATCGTCTCCACCATCCACAGACCAGAAAAGGCAGGCTGAGCCGGGGGAGGGTCTGAGATCATCGTGATGATTCGAGATCTTTATCGAACATGCAATATGTTCCAGGATCAATGATATCTGCCGGYAGACAACCTTGCCTTCAAGGCTTCAACTGTTACCAGAACTTGATTCTGAGAAGGGCTGCGTCCGCTGTCGAGGCAGAACCAAACCAAACCCGATTAGCCTAAGCTACCTACAGTAGGTATCACGTGGGCCCTGCATCTTCTGGGCAGCAGCGGCAGCTGAAAAGCATCTCCGGGTCTCCCATCCTCTGAAGATAACCTTGAGGCAACCTTCAGCCACAAAATGCTAGAGAGGAGTTTCGGCATCCGGGGCCTGTGTAACAGCAAATCTCCGGAGAGCTCCAGAAGACAGCCAATATAGCGATAGCATCCGCCGCTACTTTCATCAGACCTCAACATGCCGGAAACCACACCCACGCCCTCAGGGCCAGAGCAGGACTCTGCCCCAGCCCGCACGCGACCGCCATATAACCCCTTAGTTAACCCGACAAATGCGAAGCCCGTGCTAGTGGAAGAGTAAGACCCTCGTTCCTCGGATGCCATCGGTGCCTCATAACCAAACAAGCACAAGCACCTGCCTCACCACGTCAACAAAACACCTGCAAGTACTCCGTACTAACAAGAGACAAGACACCTAGAATCCCGCACACACATCTTCCTAACGCGCCCGTACCTCGGGGCATTACTCTTCGAAAACGCCGCCTCCGACGCCCGCGACCACTGCGCAAACGAGCGGACGTTCCTCTCCTGGCTCCGCCTCTCAATGTACCTCGGCATCGTCTCCGTCGCGCTCATCATATCCTTCAACTTCAAGGCCGAGCCGTCACCGCTTGAGCGCCGCATGGCCCTGCCTATGGGGATTATCTTCTGGGTGCTCAGCTTGGTGAGTCTGGCCAACGGGCTGGCGAACTATGTGCGCACGGTGAAGAAGTATAGTCGCAAGGCGGCGCTTGTGCAGAGCGGGTGGAAGACGCAGATGACGTTTATGGTTGTGGGCGGCGTTATACTGGGGAGTTGTATTGTTTTGCTTGTGACGGATGCGCATCGGTATTAGCCTAAGGCGGAGTTTGGTAGGTTGATACTTGATGGGTACTTTCTGGAATGGAAATGGCATAAACGCCGGATATGATATTAATTAATGTATATGCTATGCGCAGAACAGCCCGGAATAAAATAACGGATTAAGCTTATGCAAGCCAATGCCATGCATCTGGGGAATAACGCTGTTATATCATCATAAAGTCTCTATAGAGTACGTCCCTCCGCCTCGCTTTGCCTCGTTTCATCTCAACTCGCCGCCCTTACATCCGACGAATCTGCGTCTCCCCCTTGTACTGTTCCAGCGAGGGAGAACCGAGGTGGCTCCACCACTCAAACAGCATCGAGTTGCAAATGAGCTTGAACCACGGCGTGAATTTCAGGTCGGGCTGCTTGAACATATCCTTCAGGTCGTCGGCGGAGACGTACCGCGTGTCGCGGACTTCGTTGAGGTTCGGGTCGAGATCGACGTCCGCTTGGATGAAGAGAATGTAGTCAACTACACAAAAAACAGTCAGCCACAATGCCCCGATCGACCAGCTCCATCCAAAGACAGGTATATCTTACTCTCATGTTCTCCCCACTTCCCATCGCTCGGCGCCTTATAATGAATGCGGGTGAAGAACTCAAACTTGTCGATGGGCACCTGCTCGGGCTTAATGCCGAGCTCATGGTTCAACTTCCTCTGCGCTGCGCGCTTCACGCCCAGAATCGCCGCGTCGAGCTGCGACCCTGTCTCGCCGGGGATACCGAGCGGGTGCGAGCAGCAGGTATTCGTCCACATGTCCGGGAAGGTGATTTTCTCGGTGGCGCGCTGTTGCAGGAGGAGGCGGTTCTGGGAGTCGAAGAGGAAGACGGAGAAGGCGCGGTGCAGGAGGCCGCGGTCGATGTTTGTCATTAGGTGGCCTGTCAGCACGCGTTGTTAGCGATTAGTGTCATTCACTCTAGTCTTGAATGGCGGGGAAAGGGGAGGGGTCGGAAGAATCTGGGGAAGGGGCACGAACATGTCTTCTTGCTAGCACTCCCGATGGGCTTATCATCGTCATCCAGAACAATGCAGACCTCATCCATGAGACGGACCTGTTCCTCGTCGTACCCGGCGAGGTCATTGCTGTTTGTGACGGAGGTGGTCGCCTGGGGAAGGACTTCATGTGCGAGCGAGGTATCGACGTCGGGGAAGATGTCAGCGACGTTGTCCGCCGTGATTCTGGTAATTGTCTCTGTGGCACTCATGGCTGCGTTACGACTGGAGCAATAACTTTTTTCTTTCTCTTCAACTTTTTGACTTTTGCAAGTTCCGGGGATCGGGGCGATATTTCAGGGACCCCCTCTGGAGCGGTGAGGTTTGGCAGAATTCGGCCAGTGCTGGATTCTACCCCGTACTCATGGGAATATATATCTTTGTCTGATGGAGCAACCCGTCCGATCCTCAGCGGGTCGCATTGGGGGTCTCCGCATTGACTGGGCATCGGTCGGAGACCAGAGTATTACTGTCCACGCGCAAGGTTTGCTTTTTGTCTCGTCTCGTGTTTTCATTCAGTTACTCCGGTCCCGGGCGTTCGTAGCTGATCTGACTCGTCATGACTCTCTGTTTCTGAAACAAATTGTAGCGGGGGGGGGCAGTTTAACGTGGTATAAATAGGCGAGAATTGGTGGCAAACAGCCATACATATACGGCTCAGTCAGGAGGCTTACGGAGTAGAAGTGAACGAGACGGATATATCGCTAAACGCATAAGGCAGCCGAAGTGTGCTTGCTGTATCCTTGCATGGCCCGCCATGTTGATACCATGTTCTATAGGTAGCCAGTCATGCCATTTCCCATCTATCGTTATCTCAAATGACTCGAAGCAAACGAGCCTGGTGGTACAAATCATGCAAAGCAGTGCAAACCAAGCAGAGAGCCACCCTAAACCGTAGCTCATGAAATGAAATGTACAATGCTAACCTCCCTCAATGATAGTAGATGCAAACGTCAACCAGGTTCCCGTCCATCGGTGGGTAATTGCTTCGTAGGCCAGGCTCAATCAACGACTTTGGATGGTGGTTTGGTTGTCGACAGAGGAGTGGCGCTCGGCTGCTCTCGAGTCACTAGACCCTCGATCGGTTCGTCTGCATCCGTCTGATATGTGCCTAGCAAATATATATCAGTCATAGGAGCTCTTAGATCGAAGAGAAGGACTGCTTACCTCGCAAGCGTATCCTGTCGAGTAAAGCGTGCCCCACATTCATCACAGCCATACTTGCGAATCCCGCGATGAACCTGGTCCAATCATCAGCAAGGCAAGAGAATTGCGTAGGGGCTTAACATACACTATCTACATGTCTCTTCAGATCAGTCTTCCGCCCGAGCGCCTTGCCGCAAACTCCGCAAGCAAATGACTTTCTGTTACTGGGATCGTGTCTCTTCTCGTGTTCTCGGCAATTCGAACGACGCGTAAACTGGGCACCGCATATCGTACATTGCCGGCCACTCGCTGACGGGACCTTGAGTTGTTCGTGGTCTGCTGAGGCGTTATCCCTCGACCATGGAGGGAGTTCACCAAGCTGAAACGCCGAAGGGCCCGGAGACAAGTTGGTCTCGAGATCATGATCTGCCACTATCGGTTCGCTAGCGTCCCCTTCGTCGAAGAAATTGAACTTGGGCCGGAAACGATTTGTCCTATGCTGCGCTACTGGCGCAAAGAGTGGTAGCTGAGCTGGCTTCGTGTACTCCAGACACTGTGCATCCGGGTAGTCGGCGTCGGGCTCTTCCTTTATCATGATGTCGGGGTCTGAGCGAGGAGTATTCGGCAAGAAGTTGTACATTTGCGTGTTCATGTTATCTGGACCTGTCCCGAAATCTAAAACTGATCCATGGCTTGACGTAGCACTCATTGCTTGAGGGCCGCAGTAACTAAGAGGCGATGCGGAAGCGTCCGACCCGGAATATCGCTCGCATAATGTGGCTGGTGTCATTTGGGTTGCATCAAGCGAGTATTCGTAGGACATTGTCGTAGGCATCAACTGACCGGTCCAGACACCAGGGTAAGGCTCGATTGATGGGCCATGTCGCACGTAACTAGTCGAAGATCCTGTTTCGCAATAGGATATTCCCAGGCCAGGATTTGCTGATGATTGAAAGGGAGAAGTTGCCATGATCTGTGAGGGATATGAATATGCTGGAAAGGTTGGTGCCTCGACATCGTCCGACGAAACAGCGGTAGATGTGGGAAGATACGGCCCTGGGGGGAAATTCATGATGGCGAACTTGTGCAGGGTGTAAAATAGAAGCAGATGGTAAAGGATCAGATCGCACCCTACGCTGGAGTGACACTAGAGCTGGACCCTTCAAGGTTCGCAAACAATGCTTTGGTTGTCGATGGAAATGGAAACAATAGAGACGTAGGGTGCAGAAGTAGAATATATAGAGAGCAATGCAATGACTCAAGATAAAAAGTCTTGGTATAAGAATGGTTCGCGTTGGATTCTTTGATAGCGGCTCAAATGATCAGCCAGGTACAAGCCAGTGACAATTAAATGAAAGCTTCCTGTGAGGTGAAGAAGAATTCCTAGGCAGCCTCGACACCTTGCCCGGCAAGGCAGAATTGAGGAAATGATTTTGCATCGGTGTATCAGAAGAAACAGGGAATGGAGGTGGGCGTGCCATGACTGAAGGGAAAGCGAAGGGGGGGTGATGTGGGAACTAGGTACCTGGTTGCTGCGCAGGACCGGGGGGCTCACAGCAATCAATTCTGCAATCTGGAGATAGGCGCGGCATGCTAAAAAAGCGTGCACAGGAAATTAGCGCCGAAATAATGTGATCCGTTCAAAAATGCCATCCATGTGTGCTGGATTGGGCTGGAGGGTTGCATAGGCTGAGGGAATGACTGGAGAAGCGGTCACTCTCGCCAGACGATTTTGACCGGGCCGACAGGGCTCACACCCTTGATGGAGGGGGCGAGAGGAGAGGGATAGGCGCTTTGAGCGAAAAGACGAGGATTGTCCAGGGATCATGGTCAGGTCGATGTGAAAGGGACCCAGTCAGGTCCACGGAGGGCGAGTCTCGACGCTCGAATCATGCTAGAACGGAGCACCGGACAACAAGAGCGGCCGCAGGAAGATTGCTCCAAGGCGCCTGGGATTTCCGATCGTCACACTTCGGCTGAACAGCGCAGTTTCTCTTGTTGAAAAGGGCATAGTGGTGTCCCGACAGTCTGGTAACCAAGCTTGGCAAAAGTGCAGTGCGAGTCGCAGGTGTGATTGGTAAACACAGCCGCACTGCTTGAAGACAAGAGGGGCAGCTGGGAAAAAGGCAGCATGGGGGCGAGCAAGGCGTTATTGATCTGTCAAATTGATGGTCGACTGAGAAGCCATGGTTGTTGTTGCTGTTTCGGGGGAGGTTAGAAAGGTCGAAGAGGGGAAAAGCGGATCCGGATACGAAGCGCCAGGGCATCCAGTGATCGCCATACAATCTTATTTGTCTTATGGTTACCGCTAGCCCAGGCAAAGGTTTATTGTTGCTTATTTTCTTTATTCTTCAGTGCACGCCGGGTTGGCTGTTCTGCTGCTGTTATTGGTCTAGTTTCAAGACACTGCAGAATGCATCACAGGGCAGCCTGTGTCAGCCAATAACCAACTGGCATTAGACGTTCTTTGTCTGTGTCTCGAGGACACGCGAGGGACTTGTGCTCAGTGGAATGACAACCTGAGAGTAATGTCCTATTTCGAAACTGTACATGCGTGGGAATGCGACCCCGGTAGAGTGGTAACTCTACCTACAGTTCGCCATGAGTAGTTCCTGGAGTAGATTTCTACTGCCGACGGCGATGATGGACGCCTAACGCCGCGGCAACACGTCCCATCTGGGCGCGCAGACGTTCCATCTCTTCAAGCATGTCTGTGACTTCATCTTGCCCAGGCCGTTGCTCATGGTGTGAGTGCCTTCTAGCCCGGAGAGAGGCCCGTGAGTGTGAGTCTAGCCCAGAAGTCAACGCCACAGCGTGATGGCCATGTTGCCCAGGGCGAGACTGCATCATGGGGGTAGCCGTTCCAGGGGTCGTTCTCGCTGAAGAAAGGCTGTCCTTCCTTGAGAAGAAGCGGCGACCTGACTCATAACCCCAAAGCAGCGCAACGAACGGAAGGTGGGTTGCTCTAAGGAGGATGATGCGCACCCGCCGGATATCTTCTGCGGGCAGAAACAGTCTCATTGGACGGATGCACAGCAGTGGAATGAGATTCTATAGAACCAAAAAAGTAGCCTCTGTTAGCGCGCTGCGTTCTGGAGATAAGTGGTCTCAGGGCAAGCTGATCCCGAACTCACCAACGGCGGCATGAAATATGTCAGTCTCTTAGAGGTGCTACTCTCTAGAACATAGATAGCCAGCCTGTATCCTGATTAGCGGCCGCGGTAGCGTTCAGTGTCGTCTTATCACTAACTGGAAGAGATATTCTTCTCGGGCATGCGACATGACCTGAAGGGATGTCGATCAGCGCGGCAAAGGAGCCCGGTCCAGCAAGGGATACCTACACCTTCCATGCTCATGCTCATCAGACTAACCAGTGACGAGATCAACAACAGACTCGTTACTGAGACAAAAACGAGCCTAGAACATGACCGTATCAGCGTATCAGGCCGGGCAAATCAAGAAGTGTGGGGCCTGCGGCCCGCGTCCGGAGCCTTCCCGCGGAACAGCCGTCGAAGCCCTCAGAATTGCTCCGCCATGGCCTCAGCGCCAAAAATGTGTATCAGAAAACTCAGATTCAAATCATAGACCGCATGAAAGACCAAAAACGTGACGAAAACTCTATGCGAGGGGGGTTCGTTTGGGGCGTCCTGTGGCGCAGCGTCTGCATTTTTTGGAGAACTTACATCAACCCACATCCAAAGACCGGGGAGATCTAAGGATTTAGCGCGTTAGTTATCTTGACACCAGAGCCAACCATTTAGGCGAAGGAATACACCCGAAAGCCGACGGCTTGCTAACCGCAGCACTCACATCGTAACAAATGTCCTGTAAGCCAATCATTTCAGCCACGTCAGTAGATGCATCTGTGCCCTCCGGTCGGCTTCGAGGAATGACGCACAAAACCCAGGTAGTTAGATCTGCCTCGCGCGGTTAATTAGCGAAGCGGTCAAAGTCAGGGTGTTTTCACCGCATACCCGAAGAACACATAGACCAGAATCCAGGACATTCGCTTGGTCGAAAGTCGGTCACGGGCAAGCATTGTGAAAGTCGTCAGGAACCCTACAAGGTCAGATGTCAGACGCTTGGCATCAGCCACTTGGCGTTCGCGGTGATCCACTTACCCAGGTACAGAATGATGATCACGGGAATGAATCGAAGGAAGGCTTTGGTCTGGAATGCGTAAATCAGCCTTACTGCGTTGCCACCAGGGCCGCTCAGAGTACCATTTCCTTGAGGACAGGAATCTACCCCAGCGCTTGTCAGTTTCATTGCAAGGTATCCGATGCAGAGGAACGTACGAGGCTTCCAAAATACTGGTTCAAGCTGACGAGGGAGAAGATCCTGTTGCCGGTTATTACGACCCAGATTCTAACCTCGACAATTCTCTGCTCCAATACATACCTTGGAACCAGAAACAGTGCCTCGAGCGAGAGTATATCAAATGACAGGTCCGTGATATACCCGTCTTTCTCTCCTAAGCCAATAATTCCTGTACAGTTCTTAGCAAGCCGATTCAAAGAGACACTTCTTTGTCTGTCATTCAAAGCAAAGACGATTCGGGTCATCTAGAAGAGAGGCCGGCTGCAGTACAAGCAGGGACATCATGTGATGTCATCCGCTCGATCTTAATTCCAGAAAATAAAAAAGATTGCACTTACTCGTAACGACAAACGCAAGTCCAGTCCCGATGATACACAAGTCCCAAAGATTCCAGAAGGTCATCTGATAGAAGAGCATGCCAGAGTCGACGAGGCTGCTCAGCTCGTCATAAGCAAAAGCTGCAATCCAGACATACAGCACGGCTTCGAAGTTCCCAACTCTTCTAGGGTTCCTCTCAATCAAGACCGCATAATAGAGGAAAAGAAAGGATACAAAGAAGAGGGCTTCGAAAGCCTTCCTGTATACCGGCACCCGGAGGCGAGAATAGGGGTCCGCTGTCCTGTTGCACTAAGTTAATTGCAGATAATCGCTCGGCCAGAATTCAGAAACAGACCTTTTGTTGAAGCGCTGCGGTTTCTTGGTCGAATGCACACTCAGTGAGTTCCAAAAGACGATCTCCCCGTTCCAAATGTCATTTACCACTTTTTGTACTACCATTTGGCTAAGGAATTTCTTCGCATGAGCAATTGTAGCGATTTCGAGCGCATTCAGGCCAAGAAATATGGAAAGTTCGTCACCATCCGCATCACTGAAGTAACTGTCAAACTCGGGGTGTCCACTTCCAAAGAAGCCCCCATGTCGTTTATTAATCTCAAATGCCTGAGATCGAGAAGTAGATGCAGATAATAAGGGAGTATTTTCATCATTCGGTGAGTTACCCTCGGCCATGAAAGCAGCAAAACTGGGTACGCCAGCCTCCGCACGGTCAAGACTGTTCGAATGGTGAGTCTGTGGTCGCAACTCCTCGAGTAAAAACTCGATTAATTCACGCTGGTTGAGATGGCAGGAAAACTGCCAGGCAACATATTCGCACGCATACCCCCTCGTGTCGTTCTGGCCATCGTCGTGCTCAGCAGCCTTGCCAAACTTCCACTTGAGAATCCTGTAAGACGTACTCAGACACAGTCATGACGGGTTTGTAGCTTGGTATTCTCCACTTACATCAAGGCGGCTATTATGCGGGGATTATGTGAGTCTTCTGCCAATGAATTGACTAGTGCTCTGAGACGCGGATCCGGGGTCAGTTTTATCTCTTCAAATTTATACCACACCTCTGATATGGACGAGGTCATGAAACTGAAGGAAGCGTCAGCTAATTACGGGCCCGCAGTCCTGCGTCAAAATACCTATGCAACTTCTGGACGACATCGACGAGCGGCTCGTCATCATCAATGATTGGGACATCAAAATGATCATTGTTTGTCGATGGAGCTAGCGATGCTACGGACGCGTGTAGCATCGTGGGAAACCGAAGACTACACCAAGTTTAAGGTATCGACTTCAGACCAGGGCCAGAAGCTCAGCGTGGGGCTGGGAATTGTTAACGCTTATGGTCACTGAATCAATATGTCGATATCTGCATCGGCGCTTCAAGCCGGAGGGAAGTCAAAGTTCCAGTCTCTCTTGGACGGGGCCCACAATTACGATCTGACAGCTAGTTAGACTATAGAGAGCGCGTCATAAGAGTCAGGAATGCTTGCTTGCCTGTGCCAAGAAGGTACGGAGCACGGAGTAGGTAGGGGAATGACCTCAGAAAATCTACCGATTGGTTCGAATTGGAGCATGGATGCCAGGCTTCTGAAGAGCCACTATCGGTCAAAGGGCGAGCTATTCCTGGAGTTAAGAAGAGCCACAGAGGGTAGTAACAACCAAGATCTTGTACATCAATGCATTAAATATACTCCAAAACACCAAAGAAAGAGAAAACACTCGAGGTGGTCGTGCGGTAGATAAGACGACGGCTGGAGATAAGCCGGCCTTCACCGCCTTCCTGCCTTGCGCCCGTGATCACGGCCATCCATCTCCACGCGTCCTCCAATTATTGTGGTCATGACAATATCTCTAGGTTCTCCACTAGGTGCTTTATGTACAGTTGTACTTGTACACTTAATGATGATCTCTTCATAATCTTACCCCATGAAATGAAGACGCTGCCACACGATGGGTCAAGGCTACTCCCTCACGACCCTTTCCGCGGGCTCGGCTGGGATCGATATCCCCGAGCTGTCCGACCTGACATATGAGAAGTCTATGGGCGGCGGCCGGTTTATGAAGAGCATCCGCGCCAGACAGAAAAATGGCTTGGTCTTTGTAAAGGTAATAATGAAGCCTTACCCGAGTATGAAGCTGGAGCCATATGTCAGAGCAATCACTCGTATGTTTCGGCTTCCTATTTGTCAAGTGGCACGGCTCTAATACATCTATAGGGGAACGCAAGCTCTTATCAGATGTACCAAATGCCTTAAGCTATCAAAGAATTTTGGAAACAGGCACCGGGGGTTACCTCGTTCGCCAGTATATCCACAGCTCGCTGTATGATCGAATGAGGTAAGAGACACCGCCGGTGAAGAATGGGCGATGCTAACGGACATAGTACCCGACCCTTTCCAGAGGATATCGAAAAGAAATGGATCGCTTTTCAACTCCTCTGTGCTCTCCGTGACTGCCATGCGGTTGATGTCTTCCACGGTGACATCAAGACAGAAAATGTCTTGGTCACGGCCTGGAACTGGGTGTACCTTTCGGATTTCTCCTCGTCTTTCAAGCCGACCTTTCTTCCAGAGGATAACCCTGCCGACTTTTCCTTTTACTTTGATACGTCAGGGCGACGAACGTGCTACCTGGCCCCGGAAAGGTTCCTAGTCGCGAACGAGGAGCCAGGGAGTAGGAACGTCAACTGGGCCATGGACATTTTCAGTGCTGGCTGTGTTATTGCCGAGCTGTTTCTGGAATCGCCAATATTTACCCTAAGCCAGATCTACAAATACCGAAAAGGCGAATACAGCCCGGAGCATAGTCAGCTAGCCAAGATTGAGGACCCTGAAATACGTGCTTTGATCCTTCATATGATTCAACTCGAACCTGAATCAAGGTACTCGGCCGAAGAGTACCTGAATTTCTGGAAGATAAAAGCTTTTCCAGAATACTTCTACAGTTTCCTCCATCAATACATGTCCCTCATGACTGATCCTTCTTCTGGTAGGACGCTGGTCGAGGCAGGATCGGCAAATCGAGGAGAGGCCGATGACAGAATAGAGAGGGTTTACCTAGACTTTGACAAAATATCCTCCCTTCTAGGTGCCCATCTTGAGCCGAGCAAGAATGGATCCACGAGCACAACCTCAAAACTTACCAGCGGCACCTTTCCCGTTGAGCTTGACCTTCCACGTTACGAGTATTCAGATCGCACGCCTACTGATGATGGGGTGTTAATCTTCCTGACGCTCGTCGTGTCTAGCCTCCGCAGCACTTCCAAAGCATCTGCCCGCGTCAAAGCTTGCGACGTCCTTCTTGCATTTGCAGAGAGGCTGTCCGACGAGGCCAAGTTAGACCGCATCCTTCCATATATCATGATCCTTCTCGGTGATCGAACTGACTCTGTGAAAATTGCCGCGATACGGGCGCTTGCACGGCTCTTGGAGATGGTCCAGGTTGTGTCCCCCGTCAATGCATACCTTTTCTCCGAATACATCTTTCCGAGGGTACAACCGTTTGTTTCGAGCGCAAACTCGCCCCCCAGCCCGCCGGTCCGAGCCGCATATGCCTCATGCATTGCATCACTTGCGCATTCTTCGCTCAGGTTCCTGGATATGATACAAGCGCTACGCTCTGACACGCGCCTGCCAGCTTTCATACCGGCTGGATCTGAGCCGAGATGGACAGAGGATGCAACGTATCATAATCTGTATGATGTAGCAAGAATAGACCTTCTTGACTACTTCGAGGCTCACACCAAAGCACTCTTGACGGACACCGATGCCTCCGTCCGTCGCGCGTTTCTCGGCTCTGTGCCGAGTCTATGCGTGTTTTTTGGGACAATGAAGACCAATGAGGTGATTCTAAGCCATCTCAACACATACCTAAATGATCGGGATTGGATCCTCAAGTGCGCATTCTTCGAGGCCGTGGTGGGTGTTGCTGTATATGTTGGGAGCACCAGCCTGGAGCAGTATATCTTGCCTTTAATGGTGCAATCAATGACGGACCCGGAAGAGTTCGTTGTCGAGAGAGTCCTCCGCTCGCTTGCGGCCATGGCCGACCTTGGCCTTTTCCAGAGAGCAACTACTTGGGATCTCCTGCATAACACTGTGCGCTTCATGGTGCATCCAAACGCTTGGATCCGAGAAGCTTCCGTTAGCCTGGTCGTCAATTCAACCAAGTTCTTGTCCGCCGCCGATAAATACTCTATCCTTACCCCGCTTGTTCGCCCATTTTTAAAGGTGAGCATTGTGGACTTCACCGAAGGCGACATACTTGATGCTTTAAAAGCTCCACTCCCAAAGGCCTTGTATGATCAGGCGTTCGTGTGGGCGTCACAGGCCGAAAAGGGACTTTTTTGGAAGTCTATCAAACGAGACGGTGCTGTTGATGCCACGGTTCAGAAAAGAGGTCAGAAACCCCTATCCCTTGCTGCCCATTCAAAGAATGAAGAGGACGAGCAATGGATCGCAAAACTGAGAACATTGGGGATGAGCACGGAGGATGAGTTCAAACTGCTCGCTCTGCGGGAGCATATTTGGAGGGTCTCGATGCGCCAAAACAAGGATCAGGAGAGCGCAGGATCTTCACTAAACAACGTTGTTGCCTTGATCAATCTTAGTGTTACACCCCAAACAGTCTTATTTGACAGGAGCCAAAACGTCAAGGCGCGAAGGAACCCGGTGGTTAGACCACAATCGGCTCGAGACGATAGCAAAACATCCACAATCGCCGACGCATTGCTCGATGCCTCAACAACGATTGATAATGCAGCCAATTCCCGTCGTCGTCATGCGCGCTCCAAAAGTCAGGCTCAACAGGAGATTGAGGCCGGTATAGTCACACCGCGGCCAAATTCTATTGGTACTCTCCGTGCACGGGAGTCTCCCGCCTCGTCACCTATTGCGTCCTCCCCAAGTGCAGCGCCAGGCTCTCGTCCACGATCGCCTCCTAGCTCTGATGCTGAGCGCCGGCTATCAGACGGTAGACGGAGCCCTGGTCAAGAGAGCTCATCGACCGAAACGGACAATCTTAGTGTGAGACGGTTGAGAGCGGGGGTGCAGAAAAAGTCGAGTGCCATGAGTTTGCTCAACCGCAGAGATACCGCCAAGGCATACGCAGAAACAGGTACCAGCTCAGCCAATGCCTTTGGGAGGATTGGCGCGCCGACCCCGAAAGATGCAGTCTCGCCTGCTCCTCGTGAAAGGAAACCTGTGGACCAACAAATACAGCAATATCGAGCCAACCACTCCTATACAGGAGACGACCCCATGATTCTCAGACTTTTGGATTCTGTTTTCGCGGAGAACTATCCCACGGATTTCTTTGATCTCGGTCCATACGTCAAGGAGTTAGACCCTCGACGGCCAATCACGAAAGCAAACGGCGTTGATGCGAATAAAATCTGGAGACCGACCGGAACACTTGTGGCCCTTTTTGGCGAGCATACCGGACCTGTAAATCGAGTGGTCGTCTCCCCTGATCACTCTTTTTTCGTTACCGGTTCTGACGACGGCACTGTCAAAGTATGGGACACTACACGCTTGGAAAAGAACCTCACACCTCGGTCGCGTCAAACCTACCGTCACTCTACCAACGCCAAGGTAAAGGCGTTGACTTTTGTCGAAAATACATATACCTTCGTCAGTGCTGCTACTGATGGCAGCATTCACGCAGTCAAAGTCGGATACCACAATTCCAACGGTACAGTGCGGTACGGCAAGCTCCAACTTGTGCGCGAGTACCAATTGTCCAGAGCACATGATGGGTCGCCAGAGTACGCACTCTGGCTAGAGCACTTCCGCATGGATGCACAATCCACGCTACTGATCGCAACAAGCATGTGCCGAATCATCGCCCTAGACATGAAAACCATGCGACCCGTCTATACCCTGCAAAACCCGATCCACCACGGAATCCCTACAACCTTCTGCTGCGACCGTAAACACTACTGGCTTCTCGTTGGTACGACGCATGGAATCCTCGACCTCTGGGATCTAAGGTTCCAGGTGCGGCTCAAGGCCTGGGGTCTATCAGGCTCAGGCCCTATCCACAGGCTGCAGCTGCATCCCACCAGGGGTCACGGCCGGTGGGTATGCGTCTCGGCGGGCGGCAGTCACGGAAACGAGATAATCGTCTGGGACATTGAGAAACTCAAGTGCCGTGAAGTGTATCAAGCTGATTATCCCAAACCCCCACTCGCCGAGCCAGATTCAAAGGAAGGCCCAGGCAGTAGCCAAGCCAAGCAGCCCCAGCAGCAGCTTCAGCAGCAGCCCCATCACAATCTTAAAGAGTACGAAGCCTGGCACGTCGAAGGCGACCGCCCCGAAGGCATGCTCAGCCGCTTCGCAAAAGGAACCGCCGAACCACCCACCGGACCCGGCCCCTCAACAGCCACCCCAGCGGGGACCGGAATCAGAACCTTCATCCCTGGCTTTGATTATCCCGAGGACGGCAAGGACAACAGCACCCGCGTCGGGTTCATCATCTCCGGCGGCTGCGACCGTAAGATCCGGTTCTGGGACCTCCATCGCCCCGATCAGTCTGCAATAATCAGCGGGTTTGATCCCATCTCGGATGGAGGCGCCACAGGGACACCGCGATACGTCGTAACCGCGCCCACGCAGTCCCTTACGTTCGCCACGGAGGAGCTGCCAAAGCCCCCTCCTGATGCCGGTGACGGCAAAAACGGCGGTAAAAGGAATAGAGGCAGCCGGATACCGCGAAGTACTGTGATTAGCCTTCAACAGCAGCAGCTTCTCAAGAGCCATCTAGACTTTATTCAGGATATTGCCGTGCTGAGGGTGCCGTATGGCATGGTTATTAGCGTTGATCGGGCGGGTATGGTTTATGTTTTCCAGTAGCTAGGATACTTACGCGCCCACTCATGTGATGAATATGTACGATATGATGAATGAGCGAGAGACTGATCTTGGTAATACTCTACTCGTCTTAACTATCTAGCCATGGCATTGTAGTTGATGAAGTAGAACAAGAGCCCATTAACCTTAAAGATTGTTTGAATATATTTTGTACTAATAACAACTTTCTTCAACTTGGGCCTGTGGTCTAGGGGTATGACGCCTCATTTGCATTGAGGAAATCCCGGGTTCAATTCCCGGCGGGTCCAACCTTTCTTTTTTCACTTTTGTTTTTTTTTCCATCCCTTCAATCACCCTAGGGGTCGGTTCGTTCCCTTTCTTTCTCGTATTGTTCATTTCAACCTGGTCAACCTTGGGTAGTGCTATCTTTCTTTCTAAGTGTTCTGATCTCAACCACATCCCATTCCCATACTCTCTCTCCCCCATCTCCAGCATCCCTCTCAGTAAAACAAAACCACCCCAGAAATATTCCTTTCCTTTCCTTCCCTTCGCTATCTAAGCCCACCCCGACCCGCTCCCTGCGCTGCTTACAATGGAATTATGAAACCGGCGAAGGCGAAACAAGACATGTCAAGTTCAATTCGACCGTGGGCCGTGGCACAGCAGCGATGAATGACATTGTGCCACGATTTAGGTTTCAGCGGGCCATGGACCATGGTGCATGCATGTAATATAGATCCGACGTTGATTGTGATCTGTCGGTGTCTGTCTGCTAATGCTTGCGGGCGGATGCATTCTCCGGTAGGGCGGTGGCCGTTGGGGATTTGACTCGTGAGGGTGGCTTTGTGATATCTCAGAAACAGAAACGGATACGATGAGGGTGGATGGGATCTGTCGGGCGCCGTTGAAGAATGGAAATAGGATCTGAATCTGATAGGTAAGGTTGACCGTTGAACGGGTGGTTTTACGCTTCGGCTTGTTTTGCCTTGCTTGATTAATTGAGCCTTGCTTGATTGAGCGTTCTCCTGTGCCTGGTTCGCATGGCGACAGACTGCTTGCACTTGCAGCGGGAGATGGTCGGTTGGGATAGGGACTGGCTGACGGCTTATGATATACGTAGGGGCGGGCATCTACGATACACTTGATCGAGGTAACAAATTACATTATGGTTCAGCAGTCGTAAAGTAAAGGCTTGAGGAAATTAAATAGCTTAAGTGGTTTGGTTCATCCAGTGATGGATGATGGCTTTTTGTGTGGGCGGGACCGAAGAGTTGCAGATATATATCCAGCGGAATGGTAGATGATTGCCCACACCATCGAGAAGATGTGTAGACTAGGTATGCTTATACCCCTCGTAAATCATGATTCACCTAATTGCGAGAAGAAGAAGGACCCTATAGTCGCTGCATAACCCATTCATGACATGAAAATGGATTTAGAGATCCTACTCTACACTGACCTCTGGTGGTGGTGTACGCACAGAGCACGCTCAGCTCCAAGCATCCCGCCTCTACCACCTCCACATAGACTACTAGACTACCATACTCCGGGTAGTCTTCGTACGTACCAGCTCGGAGTTTTCAAGAAAAAGCAAGGCGCAGCCGCACGGAAATTGCTGAGCCAAATCCCGGCGCTCATCGAGGTTCCATATTATCAACATCCAGCATGCATGCATGATGCAGCGATGCTGCCTGTCTCTTTATCATCAGCCGCGCCATAAGGTCCCACTCACCCCTTCGGGTATATGAAGGGCCTGGGAGCGCGTATACTGCCGACGCTTTTAGCATGAAATTAATTTTTTGTAACGCACGTGCCCGTGTAATTAAGTTATTTAAGTTTATATAATAAATAATATATAAAGCTAAATGCTAGCCTTGCGGGTATACTTGCTTTAAAATTACTAAATTATATATTAAAATATAAATATATTAATTTATATAAGCTTTTTTATATAAATTAATATACCTGTACCTTATTAGCAAATTTAATAATAAAAATTTTTAAAAACTTATTTTAAAGTTATTTTAAGGCGTAGTAAATATATTTTTTAATTATAAATTAATATTAAATTTATAAAAAGTTTAACAAGGCGCCCGCGGGCGCTAGTATATTAATTTATATAAAAAATTATATATAAATTAATATACTAGTACACCTTAGTAAACTTAATAATATATATTTTTAAAAATTTATTTTTAAAGTTATTTTAAAGCGCTTTTAAAGTATTTTTAATTATAATTTAGTATTAAATTTAAAATAAGTTAACCAGGCACCCGCGGGTATAGGTATATTAATTTATATAAAATATTTTATATAAATTAATATACCCGTACCTTAATATATAATAAAAATAAAAAATTTATTTTTAAAGTTATTTTAAAGCGCTTTTAAAGGGGGTTTTTTAGTAAAATAATATTAAATTAAGGTTTAATTTTATAAAGCTATTTAAATTTTTTTATTTTTATTTTTTTTTTTCTTGCTTAGCTTAATTAAGGGCAGCATGTTAAACTAGGGGTTATTTAAATATTATTATAAAGTTTTTAATAAATAATTTTTAAAATTTCTTGTGTTTTTAAGCCTTAGCAAGCTAGTAATTTTAATTAATAAGGTTATTTAAGTTATAATTTTTTTTTAGTATTTTTTAGCAGGCTAAACTTTAATATTATTTTTTAATATATAGTATACTTATTATATTTTTTTTAAAAATTCTTAAAATTAAATCTTTTATTCGCGGTAAGGCTAAATATTATTATTAATATTTTAAACTTTTTAAATAGCTTTATTTTTAGCTATTTTATTATTTTTATAAATTTTAAAGCCTTTTTTATTTTAGCTTTTATAAAATTAATTTTAAGTTTTTTTTATTAAAATATAGCTATATACCTTGTTTACAGTAAAAAAATAATAATAAAAAAGCTTTTATTTATAAAAAAAAGGTATTAATAAAATAGCTTATTATTAACGCTTTATTTAAGGTATTTAAAATAATTTTTATTTTTTTTTATTTTAGCGTGAATAAGTTGCTATACAGGAAATAAAAAGTAATTTAAATTTAGCTTATTATAAAAGTTAAAAATATTTTTACTATAAAAATCTTTTTTTTTTTATTAAGCACCTTTAATATTACCTTATTACCTTAAAAACTTAATTTATAATTTTTTTAAGTAAGAAAGTGTTTATAAAATTACTTAAATTTTTTTTTAAAACTTAATAAAAGCTTTTTAACATGTTTATATTTTATAATTATATTAAAAATAGGCTATATTACTTATATATTATAAATTATTTATTTTAGTTTTTTTTTACTTTTTTTTAATATAGGTAATTTATTTATTATTATTATTTAAGGCCTTAATAACCTTTTTAATTAACTCCTGGTATTTAGCCTTTATTTTTTATAGGTAAATAATTATTTTAAGGTTTTTAAAAACCTTTTTATAGCCTTTCTTACCTAAAAAAAATAAATATTAGTAGTGTTTTTGGCTATTTTTTAAAAATTTTCTTATTAAAATAACACCAGAGAGTGCAAGTAAAGTATACTATATAAAAATAATATTTAACTTTTTTTTTAATATTAAAAAATATTATTAAAATAACTAATTACTTAGCCATAAAGTTATTAATAATAATATAGCTAGGTATTTATTTTATATATTAAATTTTAAGCTATAAAAGGCCTTTAACTATAATATTAGTATTTATATTACTATAAAAAATAAAGGCAGCGGGAATATATACTTTTTACTTATTTTAAATTATTAGTATTATTAAATAATACTTTAGTTTATTTATTTTATAGGTTAAATTTATTAAAAAAATAAAACCTTGCTTTTTTAACGTGTTTAATTTTTATTATTTTATAAATATAATAGCTTTATAATTAATATTAACTAAAAAACACGCCTAATAATATTTCTAGTTTTTTAAAAATATTATAAGCTTTTTAATTTAATTTTAGTAGTTAAGTTTAGCGCCCTTTTTATAAAAATTAAAAAAAATAGTTATTACCCTTGCCCGGGTATTATAAATATTATTTTATATTATATTCCTACTGCTAGTGGTTTTAAGGTTAATAAGATTACTAGTTTAAAAGTTATTAAAGTTTTTTAAAATAACTATAATAAGTATAATAAAGTATACCTTTATAGCTTTTTTAGCTACCCAGTGTAGTGGGGTTGCACCCTAATATTAATTCCTGTAGTATTTATAGCCTTGCTACTGGCCTCCTGTACCTAGTTAATTATTTACCCTAATATATATTTTTTTTTATTATTACTTTTACCTATACTATATATTATTTAGTCCTAGGTTATTATTATTATTATTTAGCTTTTTTAATTTTTATACTTTAATACCGCCCCTTTATATATTAATAATTAACATAGGGTATATTTTTTTAATATTATAAAGGTAAAAAGGGCGCCCGCTAAACCCTTAAATTAAAAGTTTTTAATACTAGTAGCTATGCCTTGGTAACTTAGGCACTTAAAATTATTAAAAAAAAGGGTAAAAAACTATTAAGGCCTAAAGGTTAAAAAAAATTAAATAGTAAGTATAAATTAAACCTAGTAAATAAGGTAAGTAAACCACGTATAAAGCACCCTAGTAATTTTTAAAAAAATAATAAACTTAGTAATTTTAAGAAATGCTAATTACTTAATAAATATAATAAATTAAATAATAAAATTAATAAATTTAATATAAATATAGCTAGTAAATTTAAAATAAAGCTTTTAAGGGCCTACCCAGGCAGTTATACTAGGTGCCTAATAATAAAGTAAAAATATTTTATAAGTCCTTTTTTATAATTATAAAGTTTTATTTTTTATTAAGTATTTATAAACCTAGCCCTTTAAAAAACTATTTAAAACCTTTAGTATATATAAGCTTATTACCTACTTATTAACTTTTATTATTAAGCAAAGATATCCCATGTATTTAAGTTTTTAAGTAAAAAAAAAAATAAAAATATTAAATAAATACTTATACTTATAATTAAAAATTTTAATAATATATCCCCCGCGGCTAAAGGTAAGCCTAGT